CCGGGGGGCCCCCGCTCCAGGGCCTCCTCCAGAGGGTTTCCGCTCGGGTCCAGCGTGGACTTGCACACTGCGCCCGGCTTCAGCGGCGCGGGGCCCCACGGGCTCGAGGGGGGGGCCCCGGGGGCCCCGGCAGCCGCTGCTGCTGCTGCTGCGGCCGCCGCGAGCGGCTGCAGCAGCAGCAGCGGCAGCAGCACACAGACACACGCCCGCGCGCGCAGCAACTCCAGCCGCCCCAGCCCCCAGGGGCCCCCAGGGGGCCCCCCACGACAAAAGAATCTTTTATTAGACATATCTAAGAGCCTCAGGGGTCCAGAAACTGCAGAAAACGAAGTCTGAAGAGCCACGCCCCAGCCCGGGCTCCGCCGCATCGATCCACCGCGCCGCAGGCCGCAGCCACGCAGTCTTGCCCCGCTGCTTAGCTGTAAATACACCCAATTCTGCTGCTCCTTTCGAGTAATATTCACTCATTTCCGCATTTATTTCAACAAAAATCCCCGCAACAGCAAACGCCCCGCGGCGACGCCCGGGCTGCTGCTTCGCCCGGCTGGGCCTGCCGCCCGGAGGCGAAACGCCGCTGCGGCTCCAGAGCTAGCTCTTTTGCAAACAATTTTCATCAGTTGCTTTTCTTTTTAATTAATTTAATAACATTTAAGGCGCTTCTTCCGGTGTGCTGAGCCCGGGGCCGCCCAGAAGCTCCCCTTCCTGCAGCGCCGGGGGCAGGGGGCGTCCTGCTGCAGCTCCGAGTGTGCGTACACCTCGCGATATTGGGGGAGGACTGAAGGCCCCCTGCAAATCACTTTTCAAATTTTTCGCCTTTAGCTGCTGCTGCCAGCTGCAGCAGCAGCAGCAGCAGCAGCAGCAGCAGCAGCCGACACAGCTGCAGCGTCGCAACTCAGCTCCGCTGCAGCACACCTCGCAGGTAGTCTTCACTTCTGGGGCTAGTGCAGATTGCTGGCAGCAAACAGCAGCAGCAGCAGCAGCAGCAGCAGCAGCAGCATGTTTGCTGGAGCAGCGCGCCGCAGCAGTTAGAGGTTCAGAAGCAGCAGAAGGCACTGAGAAGAGCAACACATTATCTTAGGCAGCCGAGAGGCAAGAAAGAGCTGCTGCTGCTGCTGCTGCTGCTGCTTCTGCTGCTGCTTCTGCTGCTGCTGCACTCCAGTTGGAACTATTAGGCACTTTTCTATGATACAGACATCAAATAAAAACTCAGAAACTGCAGAGGCGAAGGGCCCCTAGCTGCGGAGGGTCGACTCCTCCCAGCAGCCTCGAGCCAGGCTCTCAGATCAGCAGCGACAGCAGCAGCAGCAGCAACAGCAGCAGCAGCAGCAGCAGCAGCAGCAGCAGCAAGGCGGCCTCCTCCGTCCAGACTTAGACACAGTTTGACTCGCTCAGTTTTTCCCTGCTTCAGCTAAATAGAAGGTCGGCAGCAGAAGCCAAAAGTGCTGCCAGACATGACGCTAGCTGCCTGGCCAGCTAGCTAGCTAGCTGGCTAGCTGGCTAGCTGGCTAGCTAGCTAGCTACGTAGCTTCTGCTAGAGCTGGACGCATGCAGCAGCAGGCTCTCCAGCGTAGCTGCGAGTTGCTGGCAGCAGCTGCAGCGGCTGCAGCTAGAGGCGCCCTAGCTGCTGCTGCTTTGGCACTCAGCGTGCTGCTGCAGCACACTGAATGCAGCAGGTCACGCGTCCAAAGCTGCTGCTGCTGCTGCTGCTGCTGCTGCAGAGGCCAAGCCGCTGCTAGCCCCCAGCTGCCTCTGCAGGTGGGCTTGCTGCTGCCGCCCCACAGCTTCAGCTTCTTCAGAGCAGCTGTTTGGGCCCCACAGAATTGACAGCAGCAAACAGTTGGCAGCAGCGCTGCAGCAGAGCAGCCACTTGTCTTCGGGTGTACGTACACCCCACCGCATGCAGCTCGCGAGCCGCAGGACTGCTTCCCACGTGCTGCTGCAGCTGCTGCTGCTGCCTGCTGCATCCTTCGCTGCTGAAGCTGCTGCAGCAGCAGCAGGAAGCAGCACACTGTTTCTATCCAAGGCCACCAGGGCCCCTTCGTCGCCCCACACAACTTCTCTTGCGGCTCGCGGCAGCAGCGGGCTTCCTAGAAGCAGCAGCAGCAGCAGCTGCTGCGGCTCGGGTGCTGCTGAAGCCTGCAGCTGCTGCAGCAGCTCCAGCGAACCTCGAGCAGCAAAGCTGCGCGCCGAATCGCAGCAGCACATGTACCCCGCATCTGCTGCACCCCTGGCTGCTGCTGCTGCTGCTGCGGCTTCGCGTAAAGGCTCAACTGCCAGGCAGCCCGCGGGAACTGCTGCTGCTGCTGCTGCTGGGATGTTGGTCACGGCGCTGCATGCAGCAGCAGCAGCTCGCAGGGCCTTTCCCCACTGAACAGCCTCTGAAGCTGCATCAGCAGCAGCACCGGCGGCACCAGAAGCAGCAATCTGCTGCTGCACTGCAGCAGCAGCAAGCGGCGCGACGCATGCAACTCCTAGGGGCTGCAGCAGAAGCGCATCCAGGAGGCTCCAGTCTTGCAGCAGATCATAAGAAGTTGCAGCAGCAGCAGCAGCAGTCTGCAGGCCTGCATCTTGTGAATCCGGCGTTTGCTGCTGCTGCTGCTGCTGCTGCTGCTCTTGCCACTGTTGTTGGTCCTGTTGCTGTTGTTGTGGTTCCTGCGGCTGTTGCTGCAGTTGCTGCTGCTGCTGCTGCTGCTGCGGGTGCAGCTGCAGGCTGCGAAGCAAACCGCCAAGCAAATAAGAGGGGCTGGAAATCCGAGACACCGCGCCTGCGAAGGAAGCTGACTGCAGCAGCAGCAGCCTTTGCAGCTGCTGCGTCAGTGCAGCAGCAGCATTGGCTTTTGCTGCTGCTGCTGGGTCTATGGCGTTCCGCAGCAAAATGCTCCACAGCGGAGCTCCGACAATGAAATCAACGGCGGAAACAAACAGCCCCGACTCAAGTGCCTTTACCCACGCGGCCTGCTGCTGCTGCTGCTGCTGCTGCTGCTGCTGCTGCTGCTCGAGGTAGTACTGAAGATCGGAAGCAGCAGTTGCTGCCTGACCGGGCTGGTGCTGCTGCACGGCAGCCCCAAGGGCTTCATGCAGCTGCTGCACTGAGGGTGCATTCCAGGGGGTTTTATCTGAGCAGCCAATTAAAGTCTCTGCTGCTGCTCCCCACAAGCAGCACTTGCTGCTGCCTCCTGCTGCGCTGCTGCTGAAGCAGCAGCAGTCCCACCTTCCCAGCGACACTGCGAGGAGCCCAAAGGCCCTCAAAGCCGTTTTGGCTGTCGCTGCGTTGGCTAGCGCAGCCACAGCACAGCGAATGGAGAGCTGCTGCTGCTGCTGCTGCTGCTGCTGCTGCTGCTGCTGCTGCTGCTGCAGGTAGCTAGTGCAGGCAGCTGCAGCATCCAAGGCAGCAAGAGCGCATGCAGCAATTTCATCTTGCGGCAGCGTCGGCGCTGTGGCGCTCACAGCCGAGTGCAGGAACGGCTTGAGGTCTCGCTGCTGCGGCTCATTCTCTTGCTGCTTCTGTTGTTGCTGCTCCTCCTGTTGTTGCTGCTGCAGTTGCTGCTGCTCGCTCGGCATGCGCAGCAGCTCATGCAGAAATTCCAGCAGCAGCAGCAGCCCCCTAGCAAGTGCCTTTGCCTCAGAAGCAAATCGCTTCAGCAGCGGCTCCCGCAGCAATGCGCGCACCTCCCTCGCCCACGCAGACAAGCCCGCCCCACTGCTGCTGCTGCTGCTGCTGCTGCTGCTGCTGCTGCTGCTGCTGCTGCTCGCCGCTGCTGCGTCCTGCGCCACGCCCGCGGCCAGGGCCACGCAAGCTTCTACAGCCTCGCAGTGCCCCCGCAAAAGCTGCAAATCGAGCAGCAGCAGCTCAACTTGTCGGGGGTCAAGCAGGCGAGCTGCTGCAGCAGGTGCTGCTGCGGGCGGGAGGGAAGCAGCAGCAGCTACCTGCGCGGCCGTCAGAGCAGCAGCTGAGACTGCAGCAAAGCTCTCAGATGTGACAGGCAAACACCAGGCGCTGCATGCGCTGCCCCTGCTGCAGCAGGCCCCCGCGCGGCTGCTGCTGCTGCCAGTCCTGCTGCTGTTGCTGCTGCATGCAGAGCAGGTGCAGGGGAAGCTGCCACTCGCCTGCGAGGAGCAGCAACGAGCAGCCAAAGTCCACCCGGTCTCCACCAAGTAGGCGCAGATAGCAGCAGCAGCTGACCGCACACCAGTTACTGCTGCGCTGCTGCTTACTGCGGCTGCCTCTGCTGCTTCTGCTGCTGCTGCTGCTGCTGCAGCGTTATCAGCTGCCTTCTCTGTCAGCTCCCTTGCGCCCTCCTTGCAGCCGGACAGCAGCAGCCACACCCTGTCGAGTGCTGCGCCCCACTGGCCCCTGCTGTTGCTGCTGTTGCTGCTGTTGCTGCTGCTGCTGCTGGCGCTGCTGCCACTGTTGCTTTCTTTGCTGCTGCCACTAAGCCCAGCACCCTCAGCTGCATGTCCCAGTAGCAGCCTCAGAGGAGAAGCCATCGAAGAGTGCCAGCGGCGCAGCAGCAGCAGCTTTTCTGTGGCTTCACGGTCCTCTGCTGCTGTTGCTGCTGCCAAGGCTGCAGCAGGCTCGTCGCACTCCTCTGCGTCCACTGCAGCAGCAAGTTCGTCCTCGCCGTTGCTGCTGATGCGGAGCCTCCAACGAACGGCGTTGGTGCACTGCAGCAGCACGTGCATAGCAGCAGCAGCCAGTCTGCTGCAGGCTGCTGGCTCCTGCTGCTGCAGTGGCTGCAGCGCAGCAAGAAGCTGCCCTGCTGGAGGCAGCAACAGCGAAGCCTGCGTACAAAGCCGCAGCCGCAGCACCGGTAGCCAGCCCATCTCTGCACCAGCTACAGCTCCTGGGGGTAGCAGCAGCAGCAGCAGCAGCAGCAGCAGCAGGAAATCGCGAGCGACCCACCTGTAGAGTGGCTGCAGTTATTGCGTCTGCTGCCCACGCAAAGAGCTGCACCACCAGCTCCCCCTCATATCTCAGCAGCTGCCTTGCCTTTGCTGCGACGCTGCTGCTGCTGCTGCTGCTGCTGCTGCTAATACCTGCTGCATGCCAGGAGCACGGCGTGAAGCAAGAATCCGTGGCTTCACTAGCTTCTGCTGCTGCACCCGAATCTGATATTTGCTGCAGCAGCAAATGGCCCTGCAGCACCTGCAGCTGGCGATTAAAGCCGCGAACATGTGCAGCAAAGGCAGGCAGCAGCGGCTCAACAGGCACCGCGCAGCTGCCCCGCTGCTGCAGCAGCCGCAGCAGCTTTGCTGCACTAGCTGCAGCAGCAACGCGAAGCACGCATGCGACAGGCAGCAACTTGACGTCGTCTTCATCCGCCTGCGTCTGCCGCTGCTGCTGCTGCTGCTGCTGCTGGAAAATCTGCAGCTCGGGCTGCTCAACAACTGCCATGAGAGACTGCAGCGTCAGCCCTAGCACGCTGCTGCTGCTGCTGCTGCTGCAGTCTTCTGCAGCATCGCTGCTGCCCTGAAGCTCCAAAGGACCAAAGAAAGGCTCGAGCTGCTGCAGACTCTCCACTCGGCTGGCGCAGATGCGCAGCAGAAGCAGCAGCTGCAGCAGGAGCCGCTGCTCCCCTAAGTCGTGTTCACCTATTTCCGCAGCAGCAGCGCTGCCACTGCTGCTGCTTCCATGTAGACCGTTGCTGCTGCTGCTGCTGCTGCTGCTGCCAAGGAGGCACTGAGCTGCAGGCAGGACCTGATTGCGAGCAGCAGCACGCCGCTTGTGGCGCGCCTCTGCTCCGAGAAGCAAACTTTCTGTGAGCCGCAGCAGCTGCTGCAGCAGCTCTTTGTGCTGCAGCAGCTGCTGCACCTGCTGCGCCCCCCCTGTGCAGAGGCCGCACAGCAGCCGCACCAGCTGCTGCTCCTCCTCAGCCATGCCCCAGCACCGCTGCAGCAGCAAAGCCACGCGCGGCAGCAGCAGCGCGAAGTCAGTTGCTGCTGCATGCGGGTGTCTTCCAAAGGACTCCCCCAGGGGTATATCCAGGGGACTCTGCCGCTGCTGCTGCTGCTGCGGCTGCTGCTGCTGCTGAGGCAGCAAGTCTCCCCAGCGCGCAGCAAGAGCTGCCCAGGCGCTGCCAGGGCCCAGACACACTCTGGCATCTGCTGCTGCTGCTGCTGCTGCAGCAGGCCACAGGGGACCTGGGGTGTACGTACACCCCACGAGGTCCAGGCCCCCCAGAGGAAACAGCGAGGGCTCTTCTGCTGCAGCAGCAGAGTCGGAGATATTCAGCATGCAGCTGCAAACGCCTGCTGCTGCTGCTGCTGCTGCCTTTGCTGCTGCTGGAGCTACCCTGCTGCGGCTGCGCAGGTGCAGCAGGTAGGGGGTGGCGACAGCGCAGCAAAGGCGGGTGTCTGCTGGCTGCAGGTGCAGCGCAGCAGCAGCAGCAACTTCAGCAGCAGCTCGCTCTTCCTGCTGCTGCAGCTGCAGCATACGCTGCTGCTGCAGCGGGCCCAGGCGGCGAGTGGGCTGCACCGGTAAAAACACGTTTGCAAGACCTGCTGCTGCTGCTGCAGCAACAGCAGCAGCTTCTGACATGAGGCAGCCGCACAAACGAAACAGCAGCTGCTGATCCAGCAGCAAAAAGCGCAAATACCTCCCCAAGCCAAATCCAAAGCCAGCCCGCAGCACTAGAGCCTGCTGCTGCTGCTGCTGCTGCTGCTGCTGCTGCTGCTGCTGCTGAGGGAACAGTAGGGGAGCAAGCAACCGCTGCAGCGCAGAAAACGCGGTCGACTGCTTATCTGCTGCTCCTGCTGGCGCTGCTGCTGCTGCTGCTGCTGCTGCTGCTGCGCTGCTAGGAAGGAAGCAAACGGACCTCGCGGCCAGCAGCAGCTGCCCCAACATGCGAACAGCCAAAGCCCGTTGTGCTGCTGCAGCACTGTGGGCCAGCAGCAGCGCCTCTTCCACAGTATATCCTGCTGCTTCTGGCTGCTGCCCGTGGTGGTGGAGGCCCCTGTAGTAGGCGAGAGGGTCTGCTGCTGCTGCTGCTGCTGCCTGTGCTGCTGTTGCTGCTGCTGCAGTGGCAGCAGGCGTCAGCCACGCGCCCACGCCTGCCTCGTCCGCTGCAGCAGCAGCGTTTCTTACCGTTTCGGCTGCTGCTGCTGCTGCTGCTGCACCGCTTGGCTCACCCAGCAGCAGCTGCTGCCAGAAAGCAACCACTGCAGCAGCAGCAGCCTGCAGGCCCCAAGCATCAGTCCGCAGCCGCCCGCTGAAGTCGAAGCGGAGAGCTGCCAGCTGCTGCTGCTGCTGCTGCTGCAGCGGCTGCTCCAGCGGGACGCCAGCAGCAGCTGCAAGCTGCTGCTGCTGCCTCTGCTCCTGCTGCTGCTGCGAGGCAGCAGCAGATGCAGCAGCAGCAGCAGCAGCAGGGTCCTCCGCAGGCAGCGGATCTGTCCACCGCAGCTTTGCGGCTTCACGCGAGTCAAACACAAAGGCCCCACAAGGGGGTGGCTGCGCTTCTGCTGCTGCTGCTGCTTCCCCTGTTGCTGTGTCTGCTGCTGCTGCTGCTGCTGCTGCTGCTGGAGCTCGCTGCAGCGTTATCCGGTAGCGCAGGAACTCTTGTTCTTTATTTGCTGCCTCGCTGTCTCCATTGGACTTATTTTGCTGCTGCTGCTTCACCTGTTCTTGCCCCTCGGCTGCCTTTTGCTGCTGCAGCTGCCGCTGTGGCTGTTGCTGCTCTTGCTGCTGCGGCTGCTGCTGCTGCTGCAGCTGCTGCTGCAGCTTCTGCTCCGCCCGCCGCTGCAGAAAGGCAAACTTTTCAGGCCCCAGTCTCTCCTTGAGCTGCTGCAGCGCCTGCTGCACTTCATCCGGATCAATCCCCAGAAGGCGAGCAGCTTCTGCTGCTTCTGCTGCTGCAGTTGCTTTTGCTGTTGCTGCTGAGTCGTTTACAGTGCCCGCAGCGTCAGATGCTGCAGCAGCTGCAGCAGCAGCAGGAGCAGCAGCAGCGGCAGCTTGATTTTTATTCTGAAGTTGCAGCCGCTGCGACGGCTGCTGCTGCAGCAGACTGCGGTGGACAGCCTTCGGGAAGGGCGGATGCTTCCGTGCTGCAGCAAACTTGCTGACTTTGCCGCTGCTGCTGCTGCTGCTGCTGTTGTTGCTGCTGCTGCTGCTGCTGCTGATGCTAACTGGCATACGTTCAACAATGTCTTTCACTAAGGTAAAGGGGATTGGCTCCGCTGCCTCTCGCTGCGCTAGCTGCGTAAATTCACCTGACGAAAAGATGCTGTTGCTGCTGCTGCCGTTGTTGTTGCTGCTGCTGCTGCTGCTGCTGCTGCTGCCGTCAGCAAAGGTCACTTCGTCCTTCTCCACATCCCAGTAAAAGCGCTGCCGCAGCGAGCTGCTGCTGCCTGCTGCTGCACTTCCTGTTGGCCCCCCAGCAGCTGCTGCTGCGCTCAGCGCTGTGCTGGTCCTGTAGACTCTGGGCGTTCGCCGTTGCTGCTGCTGCTGCTGCTGCTGCGCTGCCTCCTCTCCTGCTGCAGCGTCTGCTGCTGCTGTTGCAGCGTCGCGCTTATCCATTGTTTCGTAGAAGCACAGCTGCAGGTCCCAAGGCGCTACAGGCTGCACTGAGCAGCTGCTGCTGCTGCTGGTTGTGTTGCTGCTTCTTGCTGCTGCTGCAGCCTTGTCTTCCAGAAATAAATTGAGAGAGAAAATAAAGGCGGAAGGAAAAATCAAGGAGTCGCCGTCAGCTCTGAGGCCCTGAGGCGTATCGAGATGCTGCAGCAGCAGCAGCGCGCTTGCTGCTGTTGCTGCTGCTGAAGCCCCGTGAAAGAGCCACACCCACTTAAAAAAGAAATATAACTTCAGCAATTGAGCTTCTGCAGCGCCGCATTATCTCTTATCAATATCAGCAGCTGCAGAAAGTCAACGCAGTCTTGGAGGCTCCAGGGGCCCCTGCTGCTGCTCATTGGGGCCCTGAGGGGGCCCCCAGGGGCCCCCAGGGGCCCCTGGGGCCCCTGACTGGGGCCTTCTTGCAGTAAAAGCCGCATCAAATAAACTATAAGAGGAACTTATGCCTTTTTAATGATTCAAGAATTCTTAAGCGTCAGCCCGGGCCTGCTTTTGTTGTTTGCTGCTGTTGCTGCTGCTTCCATCGCCAGCTGCTGCCTTGAGTAGTGCTGCTGTTCTACCATATTAGCTTCTCCAACTGCAGGTGCTGTTACTGTTGCTGCTGCTGGCTTTTGCTGCTGCTGGCTTTGTCGCTGCTCTTCGCTTCACTGCCGCTGCTGGGGCTGCCGCTCGCGCTAAAAACCATCAGCTCCTGCTGCAGCAGCTGCTGCTGCAGCAGCTGCAGCAGCAGCAGCTATGTCCTGCGCTCGCCGTTGCTGCAGCAGGAGGCCCGGGGCGGGCGGCGCAGCACGGAGCTGCGTGGGCCCCTTTAAGAGCATTAGATCTACGGCTTTGAATCAGTTTCCTGCTGCTGCTAAGAGGCTGCAGCTCCGACTCATCCCTGTCTGCAGCCCTGCAGCAGCAGCAGCAGCAGCAGCGCCCCTAGGGCCCATCTGCTGCAGCTGCTGCTGCACATGCCCCTGTGGCCCTATAGGCAAAATCAGATTGGGGCAAAACAGCCCAAGGGCACTTCTGGCCCCCCGAGCTGCACTCGTCTGCATGCAGTCAAGCAGAGATGCCCTAGGGGCTCCTGGCAGTAGCTGCAGGCGCTGCTGCTGCTGCTGTCGCTGCTGCTGCTGCCGCTGCTGCTGCTGCTGTTGCTGCTGCTGCTGCTGCACAGGGATGCCGCGCTGCTGCAGCACGTCGGGGTGTACAGACACTGCAGGCTCGGCAGGCGCGGCGACGCAGCAGTTAAGCAGCAACATAAATAAAATTCCTTTTTAAGTTTTATCTAAACTGAATAATCTCAAAGTGCGTTTTGGCATTCTATGCATTCCCCGGGTGTACGTACACCTGGCAGCCTGGCTGTATTGTCTCTCAGTGTCTTTTAGAACTTCGTTGCTGCATTAGCTATGGCAGGCATTCTGTGCCCGTCAATGTCTGCTGCTGCTGCTGCAGCTGCTGCTGCAGCTGCAGCTGCTGCTGCAGGCTTTCTTTGCTGTGCTCCTAGGCGTGCGGCGGCGCCAGCCCGGCCCCCCTAGTTGGGTCTGCAGGCCTTAGCAGCAAACTCGCAGGCTCTGCAGCAGCAAGTGCTGCAGCTTGCTGAGCTTTGCTGCAGCACAACACTTCTGCTGCAGCGGCGGCTTCCTGGGCTGCAGCGCCGCTGGGCAGCAGCAGCACGCAGTGCCCGCGCAGCAGTTGCTGCTGCAGCGCCAGGCCCTGGGCTCTGGGGCCCCACACTTGGGGGAAAATAAATTAAAAAAAAGCAAAACTGCTGCCAAGAAAATGGCAGCTTCTGCTGCCCCCAGTGCCCCCAGAAGGGGAATTTAGGCCTCTCCGTCTATTCCCCAACCATCTGCAGCAGCGGCAACCCCAGCAGCAGCTGCAGCAGCAGCTGCAGCAGCAGCAAGAGCAGCAGCAGGGGCTGCTCCAATGTGGCCCGGCCGCCCTTTGAGTCCCTCTAGAACTTGGCTGGAGATCACCCACAGCTGCTCTGCGCCCGCTGTTGCTGCCAGCTGCCTGCATGAGCTGCTGCGCTGCTGCTGCTGCTGCTGCTGCTGCTGCTGCTGGCCCTGCGCGCGCTGCGCTCGCAGTTGCTGCTGGCCTCGCAGGCGCTTGCGTAGCTCCCCAGAAGAGGTCCAGTGGCCTCTTGGTAGAGCCTGTGTAGCAGTTGCTGCGCTGCTGTGCTGCAGCTCGCTGCTGCTGCTGCTGCAGCTGCTGCTGCTGCGTCCAGCCGCACGACGCGCCAGCCTAAAAAGCGCATCAGAGTTTCCTTGAAGACAGAGGAGCCGCACAAGACCCTGCAGGGCTTCTCTCTGCTGCTGCAGCAAACAGCGCACCGCAGCAGCAACGCCACGCAGCGCCCTTGCAGGTGCTGCAGCTCGCTGGCTCTTACCCAACAGCAGCAGCAGCAGCAGCAGCAGCAGCACAGGCCTAAGCCACAACACTACTAGAAGGCCCACCAGTCTACAGAAAAATGGGAAGGCCCATCCACCTCCAGCACCAATTGCAGGTCCTGCTGCGGATGAGGCCCGTAGTCACGCAGTAGCTGCCGCTGCTGCTGCTGCTGCTGCTGCTGTCGCTGCCGCTGCTGCTGCTGCTGCTGCACTGACGGCAGCCGTAGTATGCGGAAGTCCACGGAGAAGCCTTCGGCGGTCCGCGACTCCGCAGCAAATGCAACGCCTTGCTGCCGCAGCAGCATCGCCACGTGGCGCTGCAGCACAGCCGCAGCAGCAGCAGTAGGCCGCAGCAGCACAGGAAGCAATGGACAGCAGCAAGAGGCAGCAGCAGCAAGTCCCCTAAGGGCCCCAGCAGTGGGAGCTGCCCTGGCTGCTGGGCAGCCGCAACCCCACAAAAGGCAAGGCCCCCAAATAGGAAACAGCCCAAAAAGGGCAGCAGCGAAAAGCAGCAGCTGCAGCAAGAAAGTTGAAACAGGCGAAGCCAAGAAGCTGCACCAGCAGCAGCAGCAGCAGCGCCAGCAGGGGCACCAGCAGCATCAGCAGCAGCAACAGCAGCAGCAGCAGCAACAGCAGCAGCAGCAGCACCAGCAGCAAAGGCTGCTGCTTGCCCACCTGCGCCACAGACTCCGTCGTAGAGGAGGAGACTTCTGCAAAGGCTGCCCGCGCTGCTGCCCAGACGCTCGCGGGCACGGCCACATTCCCAGCAGCAGCAGCAGCAGCAGCAGCAGACGCCGCCGCTGCTGCTGCTGCTGCATCTGGGGCCTCTCCAAGCTCCAGAAGCCGCCTTAGCGAGGGGCCCCACTGCCGAAGCACTGCCACTGCCAGCGCCGCCTGGTAGAGCTGCAGCAGCAACAAGAAACAGCAGCAGCGCCGACAACTGCAGCAGCAGAAACGACCGCAGCAGCAGCCGGGAGGTGAGCTGCAGCAACAGAAAATGCGCAGCAAAACTCCGGCTGAATGCTGGAGTTCTGCAAGGGGTGAAGGCCCTTGCCTGGGGTAGTCCATTGGTCACAATGCGCAAAGGCGCGCCAGCCACCCTCCGCTGCTGCTGCTGCTGCCGCTGCTGCTGCTGCTGCTGCTGGCGTTGCAGCTCGCGCTGCAGTACGAGAGGACCGAAGTCGATAGAACGAAGAAGACGCTCTACAGCCTCGAGGCTCTGTGGCAGCAAAACAGAAGTTTCAATTCTCACCTCTCCATTAGTAAGCTGCAGAAGGCACGGACAGGCCCAGCAGCAGCAACAGCAGCAGCAGCAGCCGCAGCAGCAGCAGCAGCACCAGCAGCCGCAGCAGCAGCAGCAGCAGCAGCAGCAGCTCTAACCCTGAAAGTTAAGGTGGCTGGGGGAAACGTGCCTCAAGCGCAAGAATCGCATCCTCCCGCTGCTCCTCAAGCAGCACTGCAGCACTTCGCTGCAGCGCAGCAGCAGCACATTGTAGAGCAGCAGCCCCGCATGCCCGCAAACAGCAAGCCAGCTGAAACGGCGTGAGCTCCAAGGGGTTCCCGCCGAGTTGCTGCTGCTGCTGCTGCTGCTGCTGCTGCTGCTGCTGGCAATTACGCAGCACGCCCTTGGCGCCCTCTCTGCCATGCTGCACTGCAGCTCCTCGTACGCCTGCACTTTGCTGCTGCAGCAGAACCCGCCGGGCCAGCTCCTTCAAAAGAGCTCGATGCAGCTGCCTGCGAGTTCGCGGCTGCAGCAGCAGCAGCGGCTGTTGCTGCTGCTGCTGCTGCTTATGCTGCCGAGGGAAGGAAAGCAGTGCGCCCAGGTCGAAGGCGCTGCACAGTAGCGCCGTCATGTGTTTTCCCGAAAGCAGCCTTTGCTGCTGTTGCACCTAAACCGCAGCAGCAGCAGCAGCAGCAGCAGCAGCAGAGGCAGATGCAGCAGTTTGTCCTTGCTGGCGTCGCTTAAGGCCCCTGCTCATGCAACAAACAAGAGGAAGTTGGCGAGGAGCTGGCAGCAGCACTGCAGCACGAACAGCAAAGCACCTCTAGCAGCAGCTGCTGCAGCAGCAGCACGTGGAAGACTCCGCTCGCGGCCATGGCCCACACAATCTGGCTGACGCTGTGTGGAGTGAAAAGACGGGAGCAGCCCCGCTGCAGTTGGCCCTCTCTCCCCTGCTGCTGCTGCTGCTGCTGCTGCTGCTGCTGCCGGACGGCAGCGTACAACTGGCGCTGCAGCTGACGCAGCAGCGAAAAGCCTTCGCGCCCCAGGCCCCTGTCCGAAGGCCTGGGGCCCCCCAAAGTGGCCGGAGCTTTTGGTGCTGCTGCTGCCCGGGCCAAAAGAGCAGCAGAGTGCAGCAGCGAAGAGAGGACTCGTCTGCAGCGGACAGCCTAAGACACAAGCAGCAGCAGGCAGCAGCAGCAGCAGCAAGCAGCAGAAGTGCAGCTCTTCTCTCTGCTGCTCTGCTACTTGCAGCGCCTGTAACAGAGACAGAGAAACCAACGGCGGCGCAGAAGCAGCAGCGCTGCTGCTGCTGCACTAGCTAGAGCAACGGCTGCTGCAGCATCAGCAGCAGCAGCGCCTACCTGAAGTCTGCCTGCTGCTGCTGCCCAGCAGCAGTCCCTCAGCAGCAGACCGCAGTGCTGCCGCACGGCCTCCAGGAGCCACACAGCAGCAGCAGCTCTGTCTGTACCAGGACCTGCAAAAGCAGCTGCTGCAGCGCCAAATGAAGTGAAAATTGTCGATAAAGCTGCTGCTGCAGCGCCTGCAGCAGCAGGTCCCGCTGCTGTTGCCGCTGCTGCGCCGCCAGGCGCTCTTGCGTTGCTGGCTTCTCCGCCAAAGCCCCAGTTTTTTTCAAGCCGCGCAAGTTGCTGTTGCAGCTGCAGCTGGCTTGCTGCTCCTGTCGCTCTTGCAGCTGCTGCTGCCGCTGCTGCTGCAGCTGCTGCTGCTGCTGCAGCTGGGGATGTGTCGGCTGGGCGCGTCAAAGAATCGGCATGCACGGCTAAAGCGTGAAGCGCCATGGCCCCGCTGCTCTGCAGCAGCAGCTGCTGGTGCTGCAGCAGCTGCCTGAAGGCCGCAGCCAGCAGCAGCCACTCCATGGGCCCCACCGCAGCAGCAGCAGCAGCAGTATTCCCAGCTGCTGCCCTGCTCCACGCCAGGAAGCTCCAAATAAGGAGACACTTGTCCACCGGCGTGGCCTGCTGCAGCTGCGGAGAGAACTGCAGCAGCACTGCGGGCTTCGCCTGCTGCAGCGGCTGCTGCAGCGGCTGCTGCAGCGGCTGCTGCACTTGCTGCTGCAGCTGCCGCTGCTGTATCCCTTGCTTCCCTTGCTGCTGCTGTTGTTCCTTGCACAGCAGCTGCACCAGGGCGTGTGCATTCTGCTGCGGCAACAGCAGCACGTCCGTTGCAGTTCTAAACAGTCGAAGTAGCTGCTGCTGCAGCGGCTGCTGCCCCTGCTGTCTGTACACCTGGGACGCTGCAGTTGCAGCAGCCCACAGCAGCGCAGCCAAATCCGCGGGAGGGATGTGAGGCAGCTGCGGTTCACAGGCAGACACAGCAGCAAGCAGCAACTGCTGGGCTGCTGCAGCGAGGGCACTGTTGAAGCTGCTGCTGCTGCGCGCAGCAGCAGCAGCAGCAGCTGGCGCCCCTCCAGGAACTCCTTCTGTAGCAAAAAGCACTTGCAGCCGCACTGCATCTTTTGCTGCATCTGCTATGTCTCTCCAGCTCAGCAGAGCAGCACTGCTGGGGCACCACTGGTGGGGCGTCGCTGCAGCTGCACCTTTTGCTGCTGCTGCTGCTGCTGCGTCGATTCTGGAGGCGAAGCAGCGCAGCAGCAGCAGCAGCAGCCTCTGCGCCTCAGGCAAAGCTGTTCCCGGCCCAGGCAGGCTCCCACGAACAGCCGCTGCAGCAGCAGAGCTGCCTGCAGCGGCGCAGCGCTCGATGTTGCTGCTCGTGCTGCTGCTGCTGCTGCTCGCTGTACACCGCGCAAGCCGAATGACTTCTCCCCAGCAGCGCTGGCCGAAGGGACTCACCCACAAGTGGCTCTTCAAGTCTTGCTGCTGCCGCTGCTGCTGCTGCTGCTGCTGCATCTCGCCTGAAGCTTGCAGAAATCGCACAAGTGCTGCCAAGAGTCTGCAGCTGCATGCAGCCCCTAGGGCGTCGAGGAGCTCTTCGCGGGGCTGCTGCTGCAGCAGCAGAGTTGCTGCTGCCTCCACAGGGGCAAAGATGTATGCATGCAGCCCTTCTCGCAGTAGCAAGACCTCGCCGTAAGCGCCGCTGCCTATTTGGCTGCTGCTGCTGCTGCTGCTGCAGCTGGGGCTGCTGGAGCTGCTGCTGCTGTCTTCAGCCGCCGCGGCAGCCCTAGCCACTGCTGCCGCAGCAGCGCTGAATGCAGGAAGCTGCAGCAGCTGCTGCAGCACCTCTCTGCACTCGCTGCTGTTAAGGAACGCAGCAACACCCCGTGCCCCTTCGTAGGCAACGGACTGCAGCGCAGGTTGTGCTGCTGCTGCTGCTGCTGCTGCTGCTGCTGCTGCCGCTCGGGGAGAGCTGTTAACTCCCACTGCAGGAGCAGCAGCTGCTGCTGCAGCGTCCGCCACATGAAGTCTCAGCAGGTGTGGAAAGTGACACCGCGCGTGCGCCGCAGCAGCAGCTGCGTCCGCTGCTGCTGCTGCTGTGTCCGCTGCTGCTGCTGCTGCTGTTGCAGCGGCCCTGGCCAGAAGCTCTCGAAGCGCGGGAAGCAGCAAAGCAAACGCGCGCAGCAGCTCTACGCAGTGACGCAGGCTGGGCCGGGGCTGTTGCTGCTGAGGTGTACATACACTTGGAGGCAGGCCACGCCCCACAGCTTCCCTTAAAAGCTTCAGAATTGCTGCTGGCAGCAGCAGCCCCACGCCTAGAGGCAGCCCCGCCGGTCTCAAAGCGCGCTGCTGCTGCTGCTGCTGCTGCTGCTGCTGCTGCTGCTGCTGCTGCGGGTGCAGCTTCTGCGTCGCGGCAAGCCGCAGCAACGCTGAGACGGCTGAGCGCGCTTCCCGGGGCGGCAGCTGCGGCTGCAGCAGCTGCAGCAGCAGCTGCTGCTGCTGCGCGTATCGAGACAGCTCGACTCCCCCCACAGCCTCTCCTGCGGCTTTGAAGCTTTCACGTAAAGCAGCAGGGGTGGCAAGAGTACAGCCATTTCCTGCTGCTGCTGCTGCTGCTGCAGGTGTCGCTACAGCAGCAAAAGACGCAGCAGCAGATGTCGTGAAGCAGCAGCACCATTCATTGAGAGCCCAGCCACTGCAAAAGAGGCCATCGCCTGCAGCCCGTTGCTGCAGGTGCCGCTCGTGCTGCAGCTGCCTCAGCTGCTGTGTCTGCTTCTGCAGCACCAGCCCCTGCTGCTGGGTTCGCTGCTGCTGCTGCTGCTGGGCTACTGCAGCAGCAGCGACTGCTGCAGACGCTATGCCACATGTGAAGCCCTGGAGGCGGGCTCGAGGCAGCAACGCAGGCAGCAGCTCGGCAGCAAAAGCTCCGCAGAAGCTGCAGCTGCTGCTTCTCGTGCTGCAGCCGGCAGAAGCGGATCTGCCGGGTTGATCACCCTCTTGTTGCTGCTGCTGCAACTGTGGCTGATGCAGCCCCTGATGCTGCTGCTGCTGCTGCCGCGGCTGCAGCAGCTTCCAGCGCTGCTGCTGGAGCGTTCTCGCGGGTGTGCAAGGCTGCAGCGAGCTCCGCCTCATAGACAGACACAGCAGCAGCTGCCCGGTGTTGTTTGCTGCTGCCTTCATCCTGGCTAGATCCTTTCCCGCTGGATTCTTACTTCTGACGCAGCATTGGCTGCAGCCGGCAGCTGCAGCGGCAGCAGCAGCAGCAGAAGCTGCTACTGCTGCTGCTGCCTCTAGCCGTTCAGTTGCCTCTTGGCATTGATGTTGCTGCTCCAGAGGACCTCTGCTGCACTGCTGCAGCTGCTGCTGCCTTCTAGTGCAAGCAGAAAAGCAGCAGTGCTAAAACTTTTCCTGCTGCTTTAAATATAAAGTCTTAACAATTATAAAATGTTGTTTTGGGATCAGGCTACCGATCCTTCCACAGACACAAGCTGAGTGCCAGACCAGGGAGGAGCAGCAGCAGAGCAGCAGCAGCGGCAGCAAAAGTTGACTTCCTCTAACGGCTTGTGGGTGTTGCTGCAGATTTAGCAGCTACAATCTTATTTCGAATCTGGTGAGCGTCTTGCTGCTGCTGCAGCGCCGCTTGCTGCTGCTGCCTTTGGCTCCCACCGGTCCGCTCCGCATGCGACCGTGTCGGCAAAGGAAAGCTGTGCAGCAGCAGCAGCAGCAGCAGCTGATCTGCAAGACTTCTAGCTGCAAACTAGCGCAAATAGACCTGGAAGCCTTCGCCGGCACTAGCGCCGAACCTGCGCTGCAGCTTTGGGCAGACCCAGTCAAAGGAGTGAGGCTGCTGCTACACACGCCTCCACAACAGCAGCAGCAGCAACAGCAGCAGCCCCCAAATTGGGCTCCTTCCCTGGCAGGCAGCAGCAGCAGCCCCAGCAGCACTCTGGGAGCCGGCATGCCAGCTCAGTCTGGAGGCTCCCCAGAGTCACCTGTGGAAGCAGCAGCACATGGAGCTGCTGCATCTCCTGCAAGCAATGAAGACTCATTAGCAGCAGAATCTGTGGACTGTGCTGCTGCTGCTGCTGCAGAAGGGGGGAACTGCTGCTCCCTCGATGCAGCCCTGGGCCTGGGAGATGAGCCCATTGAAGAGCAGCAAGCTGACACAGAGGCGGAAAATGAGCAGCCAGAGGAGCCGCTGCTGCTGCTGCAGCAAGAGCTGCATGCATCTAGCGGCTCCCCTTGGAGCGGCGGTGCGATCAGTGCTGAGGGAACCAGCAGCAGCAGCAGCAGCAGCAGCAGCAGCAGCAGCAGCAAAGCGCCGGATGCTCTTAAAAAGGAAACAGATCCAGAAAAGGCAGCAGCAGAAGCAGCAGAACGAAAGGCAAGAGCTGCTTGCGTCAAGAGGGCTCAGGATCTGGAGAAGATTTGGCTGCTGGGGTGGGCAGCATGGCTGCAGGGTCTCAACAGCAGTGTCATAGAAGGCCGCAGCAGCAGCAGCAGCAGCAGGAGCGGCAGCAGCAGCGCTTCAAAATGCACGCCGCTGCTGCAGGGGGCATGTCTTTCTGCGTACATTGCCTTCTGCAGCAAGGCTCAGCAGCAGCACCAGGAGCACCAGCAGCAAACAGGTGCTGCGCACAGAAGTCGCCGTTTGCTGCTGCAGCATCTGCAGCTGCTGCAGCAGCAAGTCTCACAGGCTAAAGAAGAAGCTTCGGCTTCTTCTGCAGCAGCAGCTGCAGCGGCAGCTGCAGCAGCAGCTCCCGCCGATGCAGCAGGAGACCGCACTGAGGCGTCCGCACCAACAAGGGGCTCAGTGGGTGAATCAGCAGCAGCAACAGCAGCAGCGGTGGCAGCAGCACCAGGGTCTGCTGCTGCTGCTGCTGGCACAAAGACAGAGGGGGGCGAGTACTGCATTCCTGCTGACGGATTTGCTGCTTTTTGCTTCATCTCCAATCTTCAGCTGCTGCCGGAGAACCGTTTGTGTCACCCCTTCTTTGCAGCGTCGGTGCCGCATGCTGCTGCTGCTGCTGCTGCGGCGCGCAGGGCGCAGCACGCGTACCAGCAGCAGCAGCAGGCTGCTGCAGCTGCAGCTGCAGCAAGACTTTCCACTGAAGAGATCGCCGCTGCCAAATCCGCCTCCGAGGCAGCAGCTGCTGCGGTCCTCTCCAGCATGCGCCATTCTTCGCTGCAGCAGCAGCGGGAGCAGCAGCAGCAGCGTGTTCCAAAGGAAGAGGATGGAGAGCACAAAGGCCCCAGCAGCTGCAGCAGCAGCAGCAGCAGCAGCAGCAGCGAACGGGTGGCTCTGCTGCGGCCAGCGCTGCCCCTTGCTGCGAGCCGCCGCATGCCTTTCCCATTTGGATTCTCTTCGGTCCTTTTCAGGGCTTTGGGGGCTTTGAATTCTTCGAAGGCCTCAAGTGCCCTTCTGGCTGTGGTGGGCGTTCTGCTGCTGCTGCTGCTGCTGTTGCTGCTGCTTTTGCTGCTGCTGCTGCGTACAGCTGCTGCTGCTGCTGCTGCTGTGAACGGCCACTTTGCAGCTGCCGGTGCTGCTGAGGCCGCGGTTTTGTTTGGTACTCTTGGCTAGAGCAGTCTACTATTATGTATTGCCTGCTGCAGTATGTGCTGCTGCACTTGCTGCACCTCTGCTGTTTTGCTGCTGCTTCTTCAATATCTGCGCAGCTGTTTGTGGCCCTCTGCCGCGCCTTAGACCTCAACGCCCGGCTGGCCGTGTTGCTGCCGCCTGCAGGTCTCCGCACTCCCAAGACGGAGCGTAAGCTTTGCTGCAACAGCAGCAGCAGCAGCAGCAGCAGCAGCAGAAGTAATGCAGAAATAACTGTGGCACTAGCAGCAGCCCCTGTCGGCAGCAGGAACAGGAAGGAGAATGCTGCTTGTCAGCAGCAGCAGCAACGCAGCCCCCACTGGCGCTACGGTGTCTTGTTGCCTGCTGCTGCACACTTTTGCCGCTACTGCTGCTGCGGCTGCTGCCCCTGATGCTGTTGCTGCTGCGGCTGCTGCTCGTGCTGCTGCTAACGCTGCAGCTGCAGCAGAGGAAGCAGCTGTTGCATTTCTGTGCTCTTTGCAGATGATAGCGCCTGCGTGTCGGCCCCTCCCAGCTGCCTAGTTCGTCTCTTCGAGGCTGCGGGCCTGCCTCTGCCGCCGTTTGCTGCAGCAGCAGCAGCAGCAGCAAGAGCAGCAAGAGCAGCAGGCGCAACAGGAGCAGCCGCAGCAGCAGATGGACAAGGGCGCCGACGAGCCACAGGGCACCCGCGAGCGGCCGTGGGCGCGCAGCAGCAGCAGCAGCAGCTTTTGAGGGCGAGTCCATACGACTGTCTTTTTTGTGTCCGAAAGCCACCAGCAGCAGAGTCAGCAGCAACAGGAGCAGCAGAAGTTGCAGGCCCCCCAGTGCCCACTGCCGCAGGTCGGCTGCGTGCTGCTGCCACACGGCTGCTGCCTCACAGGAGACAGGCCCGTAGCGGAGCGGGGAGAGCAGCAGCAGGAGCAGCAGAAGTGACAGCAGCAGTTGAGCAGCAGCTGCCGCCCTTGAGCAGGTCCGAGCTGCTGCAGCTGCTGCAGCTGCCGGCGCCCCTGCAAATGTGGGGCGAAGTTTTCTGCCCCCACGAGAAGCGCTGGATTGCCTGTGTCTTCAAGGGGCCGCAGCAATCTGTTTATGATGCTGCTGATGTTTTGGCGGGGCGCAGGCTGCCCACAGTCTCCCCTCCTGCTGCAGCAGCAGCAGACGCGGCTGCTGCAGCAGCAGGTTGCTTTGCCCCGAGAGCAGTGGACGTTGCGCAGGAGACCCTGCAGCTGATTTTTCTCAAGCGCTGCTGCGCGGTGCAGCAGCAGCAGCTAGCCGAGCTGCGCAAGACACAGCAGCGGGCAAAAGAGGAACTATTGAAGCTGCAGCAGCAGCAAGAACTAGCTGCTGCAGCAGAGCGCAAAGCCCGCTCCCTTACTAGTGGACTTCTTCTTACTGCGAAACCCCCACGCCGCGCAGCTTCAGCAGCTCGAAATCGCAGCAGCAGCAGCAGCAGCAGCAGCAGCAGCAGCAGTGACAGCGAATCTGACGCAGAGGGAGACGCAGAAGCAAGTGAGCAAAAAACCCAGGACGCTGAAGACTTGAAGACTGAAGGCATTTCGGAGTGTGCGGCATCCAAACAAGCAACAGCAGCAGCAACAGCAACAGCAGCACCAACAGCAACAGCAGCAGCAACAGCAACAGCAGCAGTGCGCCGTTTTGCTTCCCCAGGTCAACGGCGACCTCTCTACTGGGAAGCCGGGCAATGGGGCATCCTTTTCTTAAAGCCGGACTACCTAGTTCTTATTGTGTTTCCCCAGCCGCAGCAGCAGCTGCAGCAGCAGCAGCAGGTGCTACAGTCTCCTGTGCTGCGCTCGCTGCTGTGGCAAATGCAGGCCAGAATCTCACAGCCCCCACCGCAGCTGCAGCGTCTGCTGGCAGCTGTAGCAGATGCGACGGAAGGGGCCTCTTCTGAGCCCAGCAGCAGCAGCAGCAGCAGCAGCAGCAGCAGCTACAGCAGCAGCAGGCGCAGCGTCACGGCGGCGCCTCACGAGATGGCAGAAGAGGCCGCGCTGCTGGCTGATGAGTTTGCTGCTGCATGGAAGCAAAGCAGCAGCAGGAAAAGGGGCCCCGCGCAGTCCACTGGGGGACTTGGCTCTAGAGCTGCCGGAGGCACGGGGAAACGCAAGGCAGCAGCAGCAGCAGCAGCAGCAGGCGGTGGCGAACTCTTAGGCTTAGATTTCCTTCGCGCCCGCAAACAGGCACGAGGAGGCGCTCTGCTGCGGCAGCGACATGCGCAGCAGCAGCAGCCGCAGCAGCCGCAGCAGCAGAGAAAGCAGCAGCAGCCGCAGCGTAGACGGTCAGTAGATGGACTTCTCCCAGCAGCACAGCCTGCTGCCTCCAGCGTGTCAAAGGAATCTGAAGAAGGCCCACCGTGGGAAGCTGCTGCACGGCTTGGGAGCTCGAAGGCTTCTTTGCTGCAGCCGCAGGCGCAGCAGCTGCTGCAGCAGCAGCCGCAGCAACAGCAGCAGCAGCAGCCCCTCGTTTCCGCCCTAGACCAACAAGGGCGCGACGCAGTCCGCTTTATTTTGGCAGTGGAGTCTTCAGGAGAGCTGAAAGATGTGACCCACAGATACGTCTCTAGGTGAGCGCTTTGGTTTTGCTGCTGCCATTCTGTGCTGCTGGCTGCTGCAGTTTCGTGCTGCTGGCTGCTGTCATTCTGTGCTGCTGGCTGCTGCTATTCCGTGCTGCTGGCTGCTGCCAGTCTGTGTTTCTGGCTGCTGCCAGGGGCAGAAGAGGCTTGCTGCACTCGACTCAGAAGTGCTTCGGAGGCAGTTCTGCCGCAGCACTAGTTGCTAGGCCCCACCACCGTTTGTGGCGTTGGCTGCGCTGCTGCTGGTGCTGCTATTGTTTTGGGTCTGTTGCTGCAGCTGGCAGCAGGTGCTGCAGCAGCGCGGCTCTCGGCTGCACCAATGGTGGGAGAGCGACGCCGTGCGCAAGGCGCTGCGCCGCGGCGGCGCTGCAGCAGCAGCAGCAGCAGCAGCACCAGGCGGGGACTTTCCAGAGGACTTCGCCGAGAAAGGCGAGCCTTCAGACCTGAAAGAGGCAGCTGAGGAGCCGCTCCAGGTGAAGCAGCAGCAGCAACAGCAGCAGCAGCAGAAGCAGATTGCGCAGGCCGAGGAGGCCGAGAGGCAGCGCCTCATCGCCAGCGAGCCCCTCCCCACCTCCCGCCGCGGCTTCGTTGACAGCCCCAAATTCGTTTTGCGCAGTTTGGTGGGCAGCAGCTGCTGCTTCTGGGCACCGCATATAGGGCCTACGGCCTAGGGTTTAGGGTTCAGGGTTTAGGGTTTAGGGTTTAGGGTTTAGGGCCAAGGGTATGGGTGGTCTAGGGTGTGGGGCGTAGGGTGTGGGGCCTAGGGTCTAGGGCGTAGGGTTTAGAGCGTAGGGTTTAGGCCCTAGTGCCTAGGGTTGCTGTGCTGCTGCATTGCTGCTGCTGCATTGCTGCTGCGCTGCTGCTGCGCTGCTGCAGCTACGGCAGCGGGAGTGGCTGCCCCCCGGCAGCCAAGGAGTTGGCATTTTCGAGGGCGAAGCAGTTTACCTGCGGCGAGATGTGCTGCTGCTGAAGACAGCCAGGCAGTGGCGGCGGGAGCACCGCCAAGTCAAAGAAGAAGAAAAGCCTCTCAAGACCATGAAAATGGGACTTGTAAGACGGAGCACCTGTTCTTCTCCAGCTCTCTAGTGACACAGCAGCAACTGCTGCGCCAGCAGCAGCAGCGGCTGCTGCTGCTGCTGCAACACATGCAGCAACTGCTGCACCAGGAGCAGTTCCTGCTGCTGCAGAAACTGCTGCACCAGCAGCAGTTCCTGCTGCTGCTGCTGCTGCAGCGCTTGCAGTAGCTGTTGCGCCAGCAGCAGTTCCAGCTGCTGCTGCTGCTGCTGCCGCTGCTGCTGCTGCTGTTGCCGCAGCAGCAGTCGCTGGTGTTGCTGCTGCGCTCCAGCTGAGCGTCAGCCCTAACAAAGGCTGTCCTGCAAAGCTTAGATTCCTATTGGTTGGCATTAAATACGGAAGATTAAACACAGGAGACAAAAATGCGAAAAGATCTATTTTGAAATTTTGTGTTGCAGCTAAGGCCGCCATCAGCCCACTTGGCTTCGCTCTCCACCGCCCAGGTGCTGCACCGCTATCCGCACCTGCTGCGGCATCAGCAGGAGAAGCAGCAGCAGCAGCACTTGGCGCTGCAGCAAATGTGGAGCAACCAACGCTTGGCGCTAAAAGCTAAGAACCCCTGTCTGCGTTCGGCCATTCAGCAGCAGCAGCAACAGCAGCAGCAGAAGCCACTGACGCAGGAAGTGGGCCTCTTTGCAGAATATCAGACAGAGCCCATGGAGAGACAGAAAGTCGCTGATGGCCGTCTCCCTGTGGGGCCGCAGGGGACCATAGAAGTTGGCGAGCTAGTGAGAGAAGCTGCGCTTTCCCTGCTGCTTCCCTTTGCCGGCTTCAGTATGTGCCCCACCCAGTTGCTGCTGCTGTTTCTGTTGCTGCTGCTATTGCTGCTGCTGCTGCTGCTGCTGTTGGGTGCTTCGGCAGGCGCCGGTGCCAGTGGGGGCGACCCACTTGTCTGTGACCGAGTGGCAGCGGGAGAACTCCAGATCGGCGTTGAGCGCAGCTTCTCTGGGGCAGGCGCTGCAGACTGCAGCAGCAGAAGTCTTGGGGGCCCCCGGGGAGGGCAAGTGGGCCCCTGCTGTTGTGGGTTTTGAGCGGGAAGTGGGGGGTGCCTGGCGGGCTGTGCGCGACGGGGTGGTAGTGGTGGAAGCAGCAGCAGCAGCAGTGCGCAGGCGGTGGCAGCAGATTGCTGCGGAAAGAGAAGCAGCTGCTGCCAGGAGGAGGGAACAGGCGCGCAATGCAAAGCTACAGCTAGCCTACAAGAAGTGGAGAGCCCTATTTAAGGCCATTCTCTACGCTGCTACCTACAAGCAGGACCACCCTCTAGGGCGGCAGCAGCTGCAACAGCGGGCGCAGCAGCAGCAGCAGCTGCTGCTGCAGCAGGTGCAGCAGCAGCAGGCTGGGCTCACGGCCAGAAGTAGCAAATCGCCCCCACCTGCGACCCCCCAAGAGGCCGCGAGTTTGTCTTCTCCCGTGGCTGTCTCCAACGCGGAGGCCATCTGGGAAACAATTTAGAAATGCTACTAAGCTTGTTTCAATGAGGCGCAGCAATGAGCAGCTCTGCACATTCAGCTGCGCCGGCCTCGTGGCTTCTTTTTCATTGTTTGCTTCGGTGCTTGGCTTAGGAAGTTGATTTTTTAAAGAGTTTGTTCTGAAGTTAGTCTTCGTTAGCTCCGCCTGGGGGCAGGTGTACCCTGTGGCTTGGGTGTGTAGACAGTCGAATCCAAAACAATTGCGGGCGCTACAGGCCTGCCGAAGAACTACTGAAGCTCACAAGGGCTTCAAGTTAGATATTAAACCTGCTAGCTGTAGACTAGCTTAAAAGCTAGAGATCGGCTGCTCTGTTGCTCCTTGCGGAGCAGCTGCCGTACGGGTTGAGTGACTGGGGCCTTGGGAGCTGCTGCTGCTGCTGCAACTGCTGCTGCAGATGCTGCTGCGGCTGCAACTGCTGGGAACTTTCACAAGGCTGTTGCCTTGCCTGCTCTGTGCAGGGCTGTCCGGAGATGAGGCAATTGGTTATTTTCGCTGCAGCTGTCGCTGCGCTTTTGTGCTGCTGCCGGCACTGGTCTACCTGTTGATGTAGCTGCTGCAGTTGCTGCAGCGGATTTTTGACAAGCCTTTGCAAGAAGGAAACAGCAGCCGCGGCTGCTGAGGACGGAGCTTCGGGCTGCTCCTGCTGCTGCTCCTGCTGCTGCTCCTGCTGCTCGCTCTCTCCAATTCTTTCATACCTTCCCAGGCCATAGGCACTCCGCGGAAGACACCGGGGGCTAGCAGTAGCAGAACGGGGAGTATCTGCTGCATTGGAAGACACGCTGCAGCCCGAAAGGAATGTGGGGTTTACTGCAGCGCTGCACCCGGATGCTGGGGCGACCCTAAAGCTGCTGCAGTGGCCCGTGTCTGGGGAAGCTACTGCAGCTGCTGCTGCTGGTGCTGCTGCTGCTCCTGGTGCAAGGCCACCAGCCAGGAGGTTCGGGGCTACCACGTGGGCAAGCTGCAAGCGAGGCACAACGACGCCTCGGCGACTCAAGACCGAAGGGCTTTCTTGGCAGCTGCTGGCCGAATTGCTGCTGCCCCTCATTGCTGCTGCGGGCGCTGCTGGGTTTGCTGTAATCGCTGCTGCCCCGTGAGAGGTCGCTTCACCAGGCCCATCAGCCTCTGAGACCTCTAGGCACCCCAGGACGAGAGTTCTGCTGCTGACGGGAGGAAGCTGCTGCTCTTGTGTTTCCTCCTTTTCATCAGCTCTCTTCAGCTGCAGAACGCCTGGCTGCCCGTGCTCTTGTGGTGTAGATATGCACAAGTGCTTTTGTTGCTGCTGCTGCTGCTGCTGCTGCTGCTGCTGTTGCATGAGCCTCACCGCGCGCTTCTGGTGGAGCTGGAGCTGCAGCATCTGCAGCTCTTTTTGCTGCTTCTCCCGCTGCCTCCGTTTGCACTCAATTTCCAGCTGCTGCAGCTGAAGCTCTCTGTGTTGCTGCTGCAGCTGTCGCTGCTGTCTTTCGAGTTCCTGCTGCTGTGCTAGCAGCAAGATTTCACTGATGTTGTGACGCTGCAATGGAATCGGGCAAACAGCCACTGCTGCGTCTGCCTTTTGGGGGCCTCCGAGGCCCCTTGGAGAGGCTAAAGTGTGTCTTGTTTCTTGGTGGCTGAAAGCTGCATGAGCTGCAGCAGAAGGAACAAGTTGCACAAAGTCCGTCGCATGCGGACGTCTCGGAGTGCAGAAGATCTCTGCAGCGTAGATCCTTCCCTGAGAAAGCTGGCAGCCTGTGCTGCTGCTGCTGCCGTCTGTTGACGCTGTAAGGGGAGATCGGTCTGGCGCTCCATTGTTGCTGTTCCTGCTGCAGCTGCTGCTGTCGCCACTGGGCGCTGTGGGCGGGGTGCTGCTGCTGCAGCTGCTGGGCGCCACTGCAGGTGACGGCACCCACGGGTTTGCTGTTGGGAGAGACCCCTCGAAGGCAGCCTGCGCCGTCTCCGCTAAAATTACTTTGCTGCTGCTGCTGTTGTTCCCGCTGCTGTATCTTCTTTCTGTTGCACACCTGCTGGGGCTGTAGTTGTAGATCGGGAGGTCCACAAGGTGCAGCGGAGGAACTGTAGGCTTGATTTCCTGGCAGCTGTAATCGTAGTGCGCTTGCAGTTGATGCTGCTGATTCTGCCCTTGAGGTTGCTGCAGCTGCTTTTGCTCGTGTTGCTGCTGCTGCTGGGGCTGTTGCTGCGGGTTGCCGTCGCGAAACTGAGAGACGAAGGGCTCAGTGCCAGAGGCGTCTTTGTCGGGTGCGAACACGCCTTCTCTGTTGTCGCTCGCGCTGCTGCTATGGCCGCAGCTGCTACTGATGCTGCCGCTGCTGCTGTCGTCCTTGTTCTTGCTGCACTTGTTGCTGCTGCTGTCAGTAGGGCCCCTGCTGCGGTCGCTGCCGCTAAGAGGAGCCGGCACAGCAAGTAAAGCCTCGCACTTTTGGGGGGCTAGTCTTTCCAGAGCTCTGAGCTCCCCCGGGCATTCTATGGAGGAGATGCTCCGAGTAACTGGCGGTCTACAAGCTGCAGCCTCATGTCGGGTGGCCGTTGCTGCTGCTGCTGCTGCATCATCATCCTCTATGAGTGGGGCCTTGCTGAGCGCTGCAGGAGCCCTCAGGCCAATACGCACGCAGCGCCGGCCCCAAGTCCGGCCTAGATTAACAGCTCTTGCAGTGCTGCAGGTATCAGCTCTGTAGGAGGTGTGGGGGCCTCCTGGGAGTCCGTGTGGATTTGCTCCTCCTAGAAGTGCTGCTGCGGCGTTGACTGCGCGCCGCCAAGTTGCTTCTCTGGTCCCTTGGGCGCTACTGTCTCTCCAGTAACCCCTTGACTCGACGACGCGGTGCTGCTGCTGCTGCTGCTGCTGTGGCTGCTGATGGTGCTGCTTCTCTGGTAGCCTCTGCACAAGGCGCGGCGTCGCCAGTGCTGCCACTGTGCCCAGGCCCGAGCGAATCCAGCGGGCACAAGCTGTCACGGGAGACGCTTCATGGGGCTCTGCTGCTGCTGCTGCTGCATTTCCAGCTACTGACACGGCCGCCTCTACTGCTGCTTGCGTCGATTCCTGTGCTGCTGGTTCCCCCGATGCTGCAGTTTGCTGCATTTTTGTTTCCTCATTGCTGAGTCCGTGAAATGTAGCATTGTCGGACTGGCCATGTGTCTCAGTGTTGCTACCTGCATCACTGGTCGGTGATATCCAAGTGACCCTCCGCTGCTGCAGCTGTTCTTGCTGTTTCTGGAGGTGCAGCTGCTGCTGTGTATCTTGCTTGTGCTGCACCGGCAGCGCAGTTGCTGCCCCCTGAGAGTGTATGCTAATGGACTGTGGAGAGGTGGCTTCGCTATTCAGCTGTAGACTGGGTTGATTTTGCTTGAGAACCTGCTGCTGCTGCTGCTGCTGCTGCATCTGCTGAAGCAGAGGTTGCCCACTGCCTAGCTGCTCTGATGCATCATAGGACCAAAATGGCCCCGCAAGGGATCCAGGAACTTGTCTCGCAGCAACTTGTCGGGCCTGCTGCTGCAGCCGCTCCTGCAGATCTGAGGGGCTTGCAAAGACTGTTTCCATGCATTTACCTGAGGAGGACATACTTGGGAAGTGCCGCCTGTCGAGTGCGTAGCGGCAGGGGCTTTCCCTTGAAAACGTGTGTTTGTGCAGCTGCTGGTCAATCTGCTGCAGCTTCGGCTGAATTTGCTGCCCCTGCTGCTGCCACGCTAGCTGCGAGCAGGCCTCTGCAGGGAAGGGCCCCACCAGGAACGCAGGGGAGCGCAGTAGCTGCTGTCGGCACCCTCCACCTTGAAGCAATGCCGTGGCTGCTGTTTCGTGTTGCTTTGCTGATGCTTGCTGCTGCTGCTGCTGTTGTTGCTGCAGCTGCTGTTGCATGTGTTGCTGCTGATGCTGCTGCTGACCCATGAGCTTGTAAGCAGTGAAACGCACAGACTCTGCCGTCGAGCATGCGCTAACCTCAGAGATGCCTCGTCTATTAATTTGTGGTGGATTTCTGCTAATGTTTGAGGGGCCCTTAAAGGTCTGGCCTGCAGCAGTTGCTGCGAGTGCCGGGCCATTCGTCCCTACTAGTATACTAGCAGTTGCTTTTGCTGCTGTGTCTGGCGCTGCATTTACAGTTACCTTAGCTGGCACCACAGCAGGGCCTGCTGCGGGTGAGGCAGCTGCTGGAACTGCTACAGCTGCTATTGCTGCTGCTGGCTGCGGGCTTCCAGCATGTTGCGTCCTTGCAGGTGCGGGTCGAGGAGCTGGTGGCGCAGGGGCTTCTGCTGCGACTGCAACTGCTGAGGCGCCTGCTGCTGCAGCTGCAGCGGCGGCCGCAGCCGCTGCAGCTGCCGCCGCTGCAGCTGCTGCTGCTTCCTGCCTCTTGCGCTCAGCAACCCGCTGCGTGTACTGCTGCATGGCGTGGTGCTGCTGCAGGATGCGGCGCTGGTGCCTGAGGAACTGCTGCTGGTGGTGGAACTGGGTCTTCCTGCGGGCCTCCCTTTGCTGCTGCACATAAGCAACAGTGCTGCGCTCGACGGCCTGGGGAGGCGTGTGGGCCGAAACTATGCGGCGGGCCGCCACCAACTCCGCCATGAGGCCCTTGACCTTGGGGTGCCACAGCAAGCCGTAGGCAGCAGGCGGCAGCTGCAGCAGCTGGCGGGCCACCCAGGTGTGTTCAAGCACATCGTCTAGAGACCAGCGCCTCTCGGGAGATGAAGAAGTCAGGCCCACGAAGACATCCCAGGCCTCGTAAGAAGCTCTGAAGAGCCGCGGGGGAGGTGACCTCCGCAGCCGCTGCACATCTTCCATCACCAGCGGCGCCGCCTCCGCCAGCGGCAGGTCTTTTTGCCGGCAAATGAAACGCCCCGAAGCAAACAGCAGCAAAGCCATTCCCAACGCGTAGTTGTCAATTTTCACAGTCCACGGCCCCTTGAACGTCAGCACCTCCGGCGGGTTTATCTCCAGCGTCCTGAGCAAGTCACAGCCACACTGAGCAACACACCTGCTGCTGCTGCTGCTGCTGCTGCGGGGCACAGCGCCCGCAGCAGGGCGCGAAGGCCCCAGCTGCAGCTGCGCAGCCACGGCAGCTGCAAAACGTAGATGAGCTCTGCCGTTTCCCATTTATCTGTCTACACTCACAGGTCCTTCTAGAGGCACTAAAGGCTGACTGTTGCGTCCCCTTCCCGCCCTATCCCCTACTCCCTATTTTGCTGCATCTACTCTACTTTGTTTATTTATTCACCAAACTGCAGACTCTGGGACTGTAGGCTGTGGTGCCAGTGGCCCCGCTGCTGCGTGCCTTCTGGCCTGCTGCTGCTGCGCTCAACTGGCGCCTCCGAAGCAGCATTAAGATGAATGCATGCATCAACGAACTGAAGCACATGAGGCATTTGCTGCGCTGCAGGCGGGGCGGCTCACCCGGGCCACTCGAGAGCCTGGGAGCCGCAGGCCTCCACCGTTTCGGACCAGCCGAAGTCCGCTATGAGGACTCTCTTGGTTTTGGAAAGCAACATGTTGGTGGGCTTGAGGTCTCGGTGAATGACTTTGCAGGCCTGGATGTGCAGCAGGGCCTGGAGGACTTGGAGGAAAAGGCAAAAGGCCTCGCCCTCAGAAGCACTTACGTTCTCAGCCCACACAGTGCCCCCCTCCACCAGCTCCAGCAGCAGCAGCCAGCCCTCGTGGCCCTCCACCACTTCGTGCAGCGAAACCACTCCGGGGCACTGGCAAAGGGCCAAGTTTATGATTTCCTTTTCGAACATTTCGCAGACCCGCGGCGCCGTCTCCGCGGCGAACTTGTGCGGCTGCAGCAGCTTCGCCGCAAACGCCTGACCACTGGTCTCCTGCCGCACGCACCACACTTCTGCGTAAGTGCCACTCCCCAGCAAGTGCTGCCGCCGGTAGCCCTGGAAGCAACTCACTGGCCCCCGCCTCCGAATGGGGATCGAGTTTGGCAGCACTTCCGGCAGCCGCAGCCGGTAGCGCACGGGCAGCGGCACGCAGCGGGTCCCGGCGGGGCGTGGGGCGTTCACGGGGGCTGCGGCGCCTGCTGCGCGCGCGGTCGCTGCTGCTGCTGCTGCTGCTGCTGCTGCTGGGTGCGACGGCACTCCAGCGGCCCCGTGGGCTGGGAGTGCTGCTGCTGCTGCTGTCCGGCAGCTCGAGGCAGCTGCAGCCTGCAGCGCTGAGACAGCTGGCTCCTCACGTGGTGGAGACAGCGGCTGCTGCTGCCTCAATGCGCAATCCATTGCTGCAGCCTTCAGATGACTGTCGTGGGGGCCTTCGGACAGTCTTGTTTTCACATCTGCTGAGGCAGCAGCAGCAGCTGCTGCTGCTGCTGCTGAGCCTGCGGCGACCGTAGCGGCTGCTGCTGCGGCTGCTGCTGCTGCTGCCGCGTGGCCTCAGAGCCTTGCGCTCGCCAACTGCACGCTGCCTCCCACCTAGCGCTTCTCCAGTGGCTTAAAGTTATTTTTTAATGGTATATCCACTGACGCGGAGGGAAGAAGAACCCCTAAAATGGCACAAAAAGTGGGGGCCAGTCGGCAGTGGAAGGTCCGGTGGTTATCCCCGGCCTGGCTCGGGTTGCCTGCGGCGCCGCAGCGTGTCTGTCTGGCTTGCTGCTGCAGAGACAGACGCATGCATGCGTTTTGAAGCTTAAGTGGATTAGAAGGAAAGAGGCAGCAGCAAGGAGAGGCCGATGTGTCCGCAGTCCCTCAAGCGGTGGTGTGCGGGCCTCAGGGGAGAGGGACGGCTGATGCTCTGGTGCGGCGACAGCCAAGGCAAATCAAGCGACAAACGAGTTAACTGCCCTTCTATCTTTGTTATTCTTTTAATTTCAGTGAAAAAACAAACAAATTTGGCCACTAACTCGCCAATCTTCACCCAACGGCCAGCTGGCCTCACACCGCCGACCGCTGGGCTGGGCACCCCAAGGCTGCTGCTGCTGACTGAGCTGGTGCTGCTGCTGCTGATGCTTCTGCTGCTGCCGCTGCTTGTGCTGCTGCAAGTACTCGCTAGGTGTGCTTCGAATCTTTTATATAGAAATCAACTTATGCAGGTTCTACGCAACGTGAACTGCGAAGATGGCCGCTGCAGTTGGCAACGAATAGCGCCACCGCCATCTGAGTGGCCCGCTTTGAGACCGAGACCTCCTCAGCCTTAGGCGAAGGCGAGCAGCGGCGCCACCCCACTTTTCCTATATCTTTTACTGCTTCCTTCTATATCGTTATTGTTATTTTGCATCTCTATAAGCCCCTTTCTGCTTTCGCCTGCACAGTTGGCATCTTTCCCTCGGCTGTACGGCGCCTCCTCTCCGCTGCATTGCACACTGTGGCCCGTGGCTGCTTCTTGCGGCGTATTTGGCTGAGTGTGAGCGCCCCACGTCTTCCGTGTCTCATTTTGTTTTCGTTCCCTCCCCCTTTATTCTCTTTTTCTCCTCGCAGGCCTCCAAGTCGCCTTCGAAATCGCCCAGTGGCGACTTTAGCTGTCTCGTTTGGCTGCCTCGCAGTGAGCCCGGCCCACAGCCAGTCTTAGTATAGGCATTTTCCCCACAAGCTTCTGTAACTGTGTGCGGCTACAGCGCAGCCCCAGACACTCCAGTCTAGCCCTCGGGCCTGTAGAGGCCTCCCCCCCACCTGCCCGAGCAGCAGCCAGCGCAGCTCTTTGCATGCGTGTGTTGGCGCCCTAGTTAGTATGACATTGCGGGGGTGTACAGAAAGAGGAAAAGGTGCAGCAAATCACATTTCTGGACACGAAGGCAGACAGACACATACTGGGAAAACCCAAAATAGCCCTGTAGTCTAAGTTTGCAGTCCCCAAGGCAGTAGCTTCAGGCCGCTTTTTCTGCTGCTGCAGCAGCAACAGCAATTCCCCATCACCTCTTAGGCGCGTTGCTGCTGAGAGCGGGGTGGCCTGATGCCTGAAGAGCTGAGGCCCCGTCACAGGCTGCATGCACTTGTGAGCCGCTGTTCGCACTTGGTTCTTCTTTGTTTCTGTTCTCTGAAGTGCTGCAGATTATACACTAATCTAACTAAGCCCTTTCTTTCCTGTTGCTGCTGCTGCTGCTGCTGCTCTACGCAAGCCACGGGGCCTGAGTCCACGCAAGGCTCGCCTCAGGAACAAGGCAGGCTGAGTAGGGGGAACTGCAGCGGCGCAGGTGCGCAGCAGCAGTTGCATGCAGCAGCAGCCGTAGAGCCCGAGTATGAAAGGGCTAGTCGTTGTTACGCAGCTGATGACACGTCGCAGCAGCGGCTGCTAGCGGCAGCAGCCACTGCTGCTGTTGCAGCAGCAGCGGCAGCAGCAGCCGTGCACACTGCTGCAGAAACACCCTAATCGCTACATTCCCTGGATAGCAGCTCCGGCTTAGTCTGTCCTGCTTGTGGAGCCTAGAGCGAGCTGCCTTGCAGCGTCTACAGCATGCAGGGCCTGGGGCTGCAGCAGCAAACCCAGCCAATCCGCCGCAGCCACAGCAGCAGCTGCACCAGCATGTTTCTTAAGCTGCAGCACCAGCTGCAAGGTCTATACAATTGAAACAACCGTAGTCCCACTCATAGAACGGAGCTGCAGCCGCCCCCCTTGCACACTGACCCGCAGCTCAAGCGGCTGCACAGCTAAGAGCGAAAGCAGCATTAGTTGGCCCTGAGGGGCAAAGTACAGCTGCAGCACAGCTGCAGCACAGCTGCAGCACATCCACAGCTGCTGCACAGGCCCCGTAGCACGTGGGCAAGGCCGCTGCTATGCGTTTTGCTGCGGTGTTGGGCCTGATGAGGCGCCCGAGCAAAGTGTGTGGAGACGCTGCTGCTGCAGCTGCGCCACTGAGATAGCAGCAAATGAGCTGCTGCCTGACCAATAAAGAAGCCTTCTGAAATATGGGATGCAGCAAAGCCGAGAGGCAGCAAAATTCAGCCCCTGGCCTCCAGCCTTCTTTGCTGCTTAGAAAACAAGGTCGTCGTCGTCCTCCCCCAGGATAGTTTCAGGCAGTAGGCCAGAAGCTTCTGTGCAGCAGCAGCAGCAGACAAGCACCAGGAAGCGTGCATGCGCTGCGGCTTCGTCAGCCTCGGCGCTGGAATGCTGCTGCGCGGCAGCCGGGCAGCAGCCCCACAGGCCGCCCAGCAGCAAACCCACAAGAAGACGCAGCCGCAGACCCAGAAGCAAGGGTTTCGTGAACAGCTAAGGAGGGTTAAGGGTTTGAGGCACAGCCACAGGCGACTCGCAGTGAGAGGCAGCAAAAACGAAGAAAGAGTAAAATGCAAGTGGGGCTACAGAAGCCCAAAGGCAGCCACACAGACACAAGAGCACGCGAGACAAAGCCAGAGAGTCGAAGTGGGGCCCCACAGTTGCATGCAGGTCAGAACAACAAGAAACAAGAAAGAAACAAAATGCCCAGCATCAGAAGGCGCTGCAACGCCGAGACAGAGGGAAAATTTGACAGAGTGGCGAAGGGGCGAAGCAACAAACGGCCTATTTTAGAGAGATCCACAGAAAGGGCACAGACACAGTGGAGAACACTGCTGCCACGTGCAGCACAAGAGCCGCTGCTGCGCTGCTGCTGCGCTCCTGCAGCGCTGCCGCAGCTGATACGCTGGGTGTTCACGAAAAGCCTGGCTGTGCCGGTCTTTTCTGCTGACTCACTCAGGGCCTTTCCAGCCTCCTCCAGGGCCTTTTGCTCTGCCTCCTTTGCCAGCCTTTTCTTTTCTTGGATTTTCTTCAGCCTTCGGGACAACGCGAGCCAATCCGTACAGAAAGAGACCTAAACACTAAACCCTAGCAAACCCTAGATCAGGGACCACTGCGCACACTGCCACCTAGGGAGAACTTACCTGAAGAATTCCTCTCGCTCCATTTCGTCCAATTCCTTCGTTATGTAATTTATACTTTTGTCAAGCTTGGGGAGCACCACCTGCATGCAACAACCCCGAAGTCCTAAAGGCAGATTCAAAACCCTAAACCCTAAGCCCGACTCACGCTGCCTAGGGTCTAGCCTTCAAGCCCAGAGAATGGGCGCAGCTTTCTGGCCCAAAGCAAAGCCCCCGCTCCCTACACTCTAGACTTTTTGGCTGAATTGCAAACCCCGAAAGGCGCACGTTGCTGAGTGCATTGACGCGTCTGTTGGTCATTTTAATCTCCGAGTCCAACGTGAAAAAGGCTGTCTGCAGGCGCGAGCAACGAAGCCACAAGCCCTAAACCCTAAACCTTAAACCCTAGAGCCAGCCTTTCTGGCCTAGGTCCCGCCCAGCTCAAGTACCCGCCGCCCGGGATGCAGCGCAGAGGTGTGGGGCAGCAGCAGCAGCAACAGCAGCAGAAGCAGTAGCCTCGGACTTGGGCTTTAAATTGCAAAGTCTTAAGTTTAGTCCCACCTGAAGAGATGCCAGTTTGACCAGCTCCGCTAGGGCTTCTTGGTACTTATCTCGCGCCGCCAGAATCACGTGGCCGCCGGCGGAGAGGTTGATGTTCTTGAGGACTGCGCAGCCGCAAACCCTAAACCTCCGCAAGCCTACACGGCCCTAAACCCCAAACCCTAGACAATCCCTAAGCCGCCTCTTGCTCGTTAAACCCTTAGTCTCAAACCCTCAAGATTCAGGGCGCCTCCTCCTTATTCAGGACTGGCCTCCACACAGCCTTGAGGCCCACACCCCGTTGAGCCAAAACCCTAAACCCTAAACCCTCGTACAGCAAACTCCACTCACTGTCCACGGTGGGGTCGGTGGTTATTTGGAAGACTGGAAGCCGCACCCCCGCCACATTATCATAAGCGGCAGTCACGAACACCGCGGGTCTTTTGATACGCTGCAGAAACAGCCAAAGTCCTAAACCCTAAACCCTAATTCCTAGCGCTTTAAGCCCCACAGAAAACACACCCTACGCTGCTGCAGACCTGCATGAGCTGCTCCCTAAGGTCATTTCCGCCGGCCCAGGACGCCTTAGCCATGGAGAAGTGTGCCTCGTTTATTGTGTCACCAATGGACAGCTTGGTCTGCAGCAGCCACTCAATCCCAAACACCCGCAAGAGAAGCCCTAAACCCTAACCCCAAACCCTAAACACTAGGTCTCGAGCTTTGCTGCGGAGTGCGCAAAGCTTGCCTTGACAATCTCCTTTAGCATGCCACGGAAACGGGCAGAAAGAGCATCGCTCTTTTTCTTCAGCAGTTGATACCCCTGCGAGGCTCCTTTCTTCTTTTGTTTGGCGACCTGGAGAGTCCTGAAGAAGCAGAAGCAGCAGAGTCAAGAGAAAAGCCTCAGCCGCAGCTCTTGCTGCATGTGCAGTGGCATGGAAGCCAGAAGATGCTGCCGGAGCCGGCCTAGCAGCAGCTTCACAGCTAGCGACATACTAGCAGCCAGGGCAGCAGCAGCAGCCCCTGCAACAGCAAGATCATCCCACACAGCAACAGGACTGTATGACTCGCTTTCCCTTGAAGATTTCATATTCAAACTGCCGGCGAGGCGAATATGGCTTACATGCGGCTCGGCGCCACCTGAGCATCTGACGACATTTTGGAAAGTCTGCTAAGTAGCCAACGTCAGGAGATGTGGAATCCTTTCAAATTTATTAAAGATTAAGGCGAAACGGGGCCATAACTCTTCCGATGGAAGCGTTGCGCTGCTGCCGCTGTAGTGCTGGGCACTACAGTCGCCCTAGCATTCGCAGCAAAAAGTCACAGAGGGCAACAGCGTTCCTAACTGGAGCATAATTGAGCATAATTGTCGCTACTTACATGCCCTTGGCTGTGTCGGCAGCAAATAAGGCACAGCTGGCAGGTTTGGGGCTGGTTGAGACTGTGTGCATAGACGACAACTGCTACAGTGAAAAAGCTAGTTCTGTCTAAGTTGAGGGATTATAGTTACCGAATATAATGTGTTTTGACTATTTTTTGAACGGTTTCAGCTAGATTTTACGTCTAGAAAAGTCTAATGTTCAGCATTCACGCAGTACCGGCAGTGGGCGCTTGGCTGGATAACATAGTACAGTAGTACCTGGGTTCCACATAAGGAGTATTCACCGGCAACACTACACAACCATAATCCACTAGTATATATTAGCTGGGAGAGAATGAGAATATTTTATTTAGTTATGTTTCCCGTAGGGGTCCGCCAAGCTGAAGGCTGTGTGGTGATTGCTTGCTCTGCCGAAGTATACGTACTCGCCTCCAAGAACGCGGCACTTTTGTATGCTGAGGATGGCTCGATTTGCAAATAGCACTCACTTTTCTGTATAGTATGCACAGTTTATTCACTAACACAATAGTAAAATTGGCAGGTCGTAATTAAGAGGAACCAGATAGCACTCGTTGGAAGTCTGTGTGCTTGTTCCAGAGATGCTGTATAGCTGTATGCTGCCCTCGATCAACTAGTAAGTAACCAAATATTTTTGTAGGCACTGCTAAAGCCAAGGTTTTGCGGAGAAATGTAGCATTTCTTGACATGCTGGAGCCGTCAAAAGGCTCTTGCTTACGCGGATTGGGATGCTAGCTGTTGAACTAATGTCGCGACTGCTGAAGTTGCCACAGAAGGAAAAATTTATGTGATGTTCCTGAGGCAGGTAGTGATTATGTTGCCTTTTTCTCCTGTTGAAGGCGCGGGTGCGAGTGGGACAAAAGTTGCCAGCACAGGCATTGAAACACTGCCAAAAGCAACTCGTGCTATTGTGCTGAAGGTTGAGTTGGGTACTATGGTTCTCTCCTAAGCCTCTCGTTTTAATGGTATATCGCAGTTTATTCTCCTTTCTTTCTCCCTCACAAGGGCCCTCTGGCTGGCTTGTCGCTGCAAAAGCCCAGTTGGGCCGCGTCTTTGAGACGTTATCTTGCGTCGAGATGGGACTGTTTGAACAGTATAACTTCAAATTAGACTAAACCTTATTCTTGCTGAAAGGCTAGACCGTCTGTTACTTGCTCCTGAGAAAAAAGAACTCTTGCGCACTTTATACGGCGGCTGTCGGAGGTGCCACTCTGCGAAGGTCTCATATAAAGAGCACACCTAAACCACGGAGTCAGCAGGAGATAACTTGTCTACAAAGCTTCTGAAATATCGTAAAGGCTTAGCTGCTTTATGTCGAAGTGCACATGCAAATATATTAGCTTACTCCTCTGCAGTGCCGCTGCTGTCTGTGGGTTTTATAACGCTGTTCACTCTGTATATTGTTTGAGCCAACAGAGCTTACGGTCAGTGAGAGCTCTTCAGACACCATACTGTCATCGTGAGGCCTCTCAGCCTGAGTGTTGGGGGGTGTCGTGCCGTCAAAGTGCACTGGGAATCGTGCGAACAAACCGTGCAATAGCGAAAGTGCTTCGGATTTATCTCGCAAACGTGAAGAACTCAGGAAGCTGCGGCATCCAAATGTGCCCTTCGTCTGCAATAGAAATACGCAGGTACGGGAATTCGAAGCGCAGGTACACCAGTGGCTACGGAGCTTCAATTGTGATTTCGCTGTTTTGTTGTGTTGCGGCCGTGTGAGGCTCGCGGATCACTGGATACAAAAGCTATACACTAAAAAAGCCTGGAAGCCATGTTCAAGTATCTCGCCTTTCGCACAGCGAGCGGCACCCGTGTGCAACTTGCAAGGACTCGTAGTACCTTGGACTTGTACAGTCGCGCAGTTGAGCTCGGCTAGAGTCTTCGTAGGGAGCGAGTGTGGGCATGCGCCCAGTCAAATGGCTTCAGATTCCAAGCAAAATTGTGACGGCGAATTCTGGCCTTATAAACAAATGGCACCAGTGTGTCGTTCCAAAGAACTGGAGCGCTTGATCGCAGCGCCTTATTATAGGCATTTATGTCTTTCCCTTTGCGTGCAGCGAAATTTACAGCGTCTGCACTAATAGCATAGCTGGAGTCAGCAGGTTTCTTTTTCAAGCCTGCGTTTGAAGAACTTGAGAAGGCTGTGGTAGTCAGGAATGATTGTGAAGAATTACCCCAGCTGTTTAGCTGGCTTGGATGTAGGAACTTCCTCCAACCACATTGTTGGGGCACCCGAATATACCCTGACTTAATAACGGTTGAAGATAAGAGTTGATGTTGGCATGAAAGGCGGCTCATGCATTCTCCATGCCAAGGGGCCCAATGTTGTACTGGGATAGCCCCAACACGGAGTGGAAGGCCGGCTTTCACTAGTCCTCCTCTGTGTTCGTGCAGATACACGAATCAAATTAAAATGAATCGAATCAAATTGGATGAATAAAATCAAGTCTGTAAATTTAGCTGGAAAAAAGTATCTGGCAGTTCCTGACTTTTTTCTGTTCACTAGCCTTAAGACTGAGTTGGAAGTTGTCCTTCACCGTCGCTCCTTCGCCGAATATAATGTAGGCTTGATTCAACATCTGTTGAATAAAAAACATCTGGCATCCCCCACATCTATGGTGTGGTATGAATGTGGGCATTGGGAAATCAGCGGCAGCTGTGTAGGCAATCAGCACTTCATAACTAGCCACCTTCGATAATTTTTGTTCGTCTGTGCATTCATTGTGTTGCTCTACCGTGATTGTCGGGCCTGCATTGGGGAGTTCGTTGGGACTACCCACAAAACAACTGAAGCTCTTGGTTGGTGCCTGTTTGTGGAAAGTGAGCTGATCTGGCATTACACAACGCAAAAACAGTCCTTGCTTAAGATTTGCGCGCAGTAGTAGGAAGGAGTTGCCATGAGGGTGCTTCGCAGCATTCCGGAGCGTAGTACATCCAAGAAGACGGCTTGATGGTAACGTAGAACGAGTACCTCTCTAGGTGTATTCTTTGGACTTAAAGTTTGCAACCTTTGTTCCTAGAGAGTAAATTCTCATACGATATCAAGCTAAGAATTCTCCGATTCGCCTTTAGCATGTTTTATGTCCATTTGGAAGCTTTGCAGGACTGCTGCAATGTTGTCCTGTGAAGCAACAAGGCATATAGTAGAACCCCCTGAGGCTCTTTTAAAAGGCGTGAGGCACAGCGTGTGCCAACTTCGGCCAAAGCCAGTACAAAGCTAGCCTCTTGAAATAAATATGTGAGTTGATACCAGTTTGAGCACTTCCGCAGTAAGAATTTGTGGTCCACATATCTATCACTGCTCTAGCATAAGAGTTGTATTGTATGGACCGTGAGCGGTAGAATGCCACCGCCTCGTTCGCCGTCATGCGCAACATATGCCGTTTCAGAATGATGCATGGCTACTCTCCCTAAGTTTTCTGCATATTTTCTCCCAGCCTGCCGTTCTCTTTACCAGTTTCGCTAGTGCGCGCATTAGGTGCACCATGCCATGCAGCCATCTACTGCTGCCCCTTACATTAATACTCGGCAGCATCACACTGGAAATGCCATTTTACGTGTATGCCGTGTAGGACAGCGGAGTCCAGCACTGAGGCCTCGGGAATATGTTCTGCTATCCAATTTTCCGGGAAAAAAGCCTTCACAAGCTCACCACCTCGATAGCCTTGCCACCATCCAGCCAAAATGCATCCTCTTGCGATTAGCTAATGCAAGCATACAGCCACAACACTCTGAGATGCATGATATTTGCAGCAACAGGACTCGAGAAAATAGGAGAAGCAGCACTGTATCTAAAATATTTATCACGACTATACGGGGCAGCGCATCCCGCACTCGAACCGGACTTGCTGTGTAATGCCCCTGTAGTTTCCTGTTTGCACGAGGGCCGTGACAGCAGCATCAATCCGTCCACCTCGATATGGGCACGGGTAGTGCTAAAATATTGCACCCCAGGAACATACAGGGTTTATGAATATGTGCTCGGCTAGACTTTGTGAAATGGGGGCCACCAGAACCCCTGGGACATCATATCACGCCATCTCGTAGAAAGCTTTAGCCCCTCCCTCTAGCTTTAGTTACCCGGTTATTCTTTATCTCTCATCACGACTGCACTATTCTTCAATGCTTCAAGGATCCTGGTCAAAGTATGCAACAAGTTTCACCCGTACTACATCTAGTGGCGTGTAGAGCCCCGCAGAGCCATCATTCGGAGGCCAGTATCACGGCAAAAATTATTCCTATACCAGCCCTGCTGAGGTATGAGTGCTGAAAGTGCACAAAATCCTCTGGTGTGTTAATGCCTGTTGCGCAACGTTTTTCTAGGGGAGCAATGCTATTAAACATCTGCTTGTACGGCGGCGCGCAGCACTGCACCTTTGCAGGAAATTTCAGCCGGCGTATCAGGGCCCTCTTTTGAGTTTTAAAGACTTTAATTCTTACTTCATGTAAAGTGCATGATAACCGATATCCCGGCTAGGCACACAAGCAGCTCGAGCTCCGAACACAAGCAGCTGCGCTTGTGCTCCGCAGTACCGTTTGCCTAGAATGCGAACTACGCCATTTCAAGTCTTTTTCCACTCGCAATTTCACAAGGGAAAAGTCCTTGTTTTAATTTGCTGCTGTTTCAATTTCCAACGACTGCTGAAATGGCTGCAGCGGTGTCCTGCGGGGCTGTGTTGCGCTGTGCTGCTGGCAGCAAGGGCGCAGTTGCTGGGCAGCGTCGGTGGTGCTGTTGCTTGGCGGCGCCTTGGAGTCCCCGAGTTTACAAAATTAGAAAAAGAAATGAATTTGTATATGAATGCATAGGCAGGCAGAGATTGCAATCTCCATAGATACTCGTTTTGCCCCTCTTCCCAGCCCTTACGCGTGGGTTTATCGGCCGCGGCGCCTAAGGCCCCAGGGGGCCCCTCTCTGTCTCTCCTGATTTCGTGCCTTTTCCTTGTTTCCTGCACTTCCGCAAACAATTCCACGTCTTTTGCACAAAGGCATCAGCTTGAGGGAGGGGGCCCCACCTAGCCAGACAAGGGGCCCTAGCAGCTCGGCAGCTGCGGCCTCCCTACAGCTGCCCCGCAACGCTGCTAGTCCCCTTTTCTACGACAACGGGGCCCCCTAACCCTTGATCTGAGGGCACTGTCCCCGCTACTTCCCTGGGTGAACCCCGCATTGCGGGGGCCCCAGGGCCCGCACCGCTTGGCAGCGAGGGGCCAATCTGTTCTATCTTTCGGCCCGTCTGCGTTTCCCTTCTGCGCAGCCTGTGTGTCACCTGCTTCCTGCCTGTGGCTCCAGGAGCTCTTTGACGGAGGGCTGAACGAGACTCCAGCTGCAGTGCCTGAACACCTGCAGCGCCTGGACACCGCGGCCGCCACCTCCTGCAGGCGCCCCAGTGCACAGGGGCCCCTCTTCCGGCCTCTCCAGGGCCCACAGGATGTCTGCTGTACCCTCTGCACCCCCTAGGTAAGGCTAGCCTCCTGAAGGGCCCCTGAACTGCGTTTAGTGTGGGGGGCCCCTCGGGCTTGCTGCCTGGCGGGACCCACGGCCCATAGTTGGGGCTCCGCTGCGCCATTTCTGTGTGGATCTGTAGGGGACAAAAATCAGCTCTCTGTCGTTATGCTGCTGTTGGCCGGTGCCAGAGAGGAGCCCTTTGTGCCTTTGCCCATTCTCCAGATGAGCTAGCCCCCAGGAGGGTCCCTCGGCAGGGGTTCAGGGGCCCCCCGAGGGGCCCCCCGCACAGTCAGGCTGCTCTGCACCCAAACGGGGGTACTGCAGCGCCAAATGCTTCTCATAGAGTCTCAAGGCATGCTTACTTTAAGCAAACAGCTCACAGCAGAGGAGGAGAAGATGACTCCTTGGGGCCCCCTCGTGGGGGCCCCCAAGGAGGTGCGGGGTCCTACAGGCCGGTCGGCACTCCGTCAGGGAACAACAGTGTAAGTGCATGCAGCAGCAGCAGCAGCAGCAAGTGAAGCAGCCGCATTGGTAGTCGCAGCAGCAGCTCTAGCCACTGCTGCAGAGGAGGTGTGTGTCTGCGTGTTCAGGGCTTTGGAGCCCCCAGGGCCTCTAAAGAGTGGAGACGCAGGACCACCAACGACACTGATAGAGTCCTTTCTGCGGCTGCTCTTCAAGCAGCAGCAGCAGCAGCAGCACAAGGCGCAGGCCCTCCTGCTGCTGCTAAGGCAGCAGACGAGGTGCCGCCGCCGCCGCCGCCGCCCCCGCCTCCGCCGCCGCCTGCTGCTGGCGTTGCAGCAGGCGGGGCTTTAGGGGTTGCTGCAAGCTTTGCCGTTGTTGCTGCAGGTGCTGCTGCTGCAGCGTCTGTTGCAGGGGCCCCAGCGGGAGCAGCAGCTGCTGCTGCACCGCCTGCTGTTGCAGCAACTCCCGTGCAGTCCAGCCAGGCCGAAGAGGCGCTTTCAACTACTGCTGCTGTTTCCCAAGACGAGCAGCAGCCCCCCGCGCCTCCGCGGGGGACTTGCAGTGCGTCAGCCTCTGAGGGCCCCACCAAGGGGCCCCCCGAGGGGCCCCCAGGAAGGGCCTCTGGGGGCCCCTCGGGGGGCCCGCAGCAGCGGGAGAGGTCCCGCCGCCAGCCTCCAGAGGTCTGGAGTACTGATGGGCCCGTCAGCTGCAGCACGTGGGTCCTGCCTGCGGAGAAGCTGAGGGGCCCCTCTGACAACCGCTTCCTCGTTTCATCCCCCCAGCAGCAGCAGCAGCAGCACCAACAGCAGCAGCAGCAGCAAGCGGAGGACAACTGTGCCAACGGCAAACGCTGCGATGGGGACGGCGCAGGACTAGCAGCTGTGCCGCACAAGGCGGGAGGGGCTGCAGCAGCAGCTGCTGCTGCAGCTGCTGCTGTCGAAGAAAATGACGCAACGATGGGTGTAGCTGGCCCGGGGGGGCCCCACAAGAGGAACGGCCGCAGGCCCTACACCTCGGGAGGACAGCAGCATGGCTTCTCTGGCTACGAACAGCAACAGCAGCAGCAGCAGCAAGATGCAGCAGCTGGCACGTTCGCATGCTCCACACGGGCCAACACTGTTTCTGCGGAAGCAGTAGAGACAAGAAGCTACAAGACTTCTGCGCAGCAGCAGCCTCAGGAGCAGCACCAGCAGCAGCATGCTGTGGAGGTCGGGGAGGGCCCCGTTAGCTACCCAGCAATTCCCTTCGGCGAAGAGTGGGGCCCCTATTGGGGGCCCCTCCCATTTGGGGTGCCGGCGGAGTACATGCTAGCAGCAGACCGGCAGCAGCAGCACGAGGTGGCTGTTTATGGGCTGCCGAAGCTGCAGAGCTCTGTGGACGCGTCCACAGCAGCAACAACTCCAGCAGGAGCTGTGGGGGCCCCCTATGGCACTATTTATGCTGCTGCTTCTTGCTTGGGGCCCGCCTCTTACTTGAGCCGAATTGCGCAGTGCCGCCTCCAGCCCGGCACTTCCGAGCTCCTGCTGCAGCACGCGCCCACCATGTATGAAGAGTAGGCCGGCTGCATCTGCAGCAGGAGAGACAGCAGCAGCTGCAGCTGGAGCGACCGGCACCCCAGCTGCAGCGGCTGCAGCAGCAGACCCCTTCTGCGGCGGAGTTTCGTACTCGCTGCCGCTGCTGCTGCAGCCCGCTGCTGCAGCAGCGGAGGGCACAAAACTCTGCAGCAGCAGCGCGGGGAAGCGAAAGGCCAGAGAGAAAGCGGAGGGTGTGCCTGTCGTGCTGCTGCTGGCGTTTAAGTGGAGCAGCAGCAGCAACTAAGAACGAATTCCAGCGCTGCAGCTACAGTGCCTTAGGAGACACGGGAGAGCAGCGGAGGCAAATGGCGAAACACGCAGACACAAAACAGCGACAGCGAAACTCGAAGGAGCCACACGAGGCTCCTGCAATTAGCAGACACACTCACACACACTCACACAAAACTCAGACACGCGCAGGGCAGGCAGGGCGGCGGCGCCCGGGGGCCCTAGCGGAGGCAGCAGCTAGAGGCTCGGCGGCGGCACACACAGCAGCCTAGGGCAAACTGCAGTTGTATTTGCTTGGGGAGGCGCCCAGCGGACCTGAGCGCCAGGGAGGCCTTCAGGCGGCCTGTGCGCAGCGGCGCTGGGTGCCCTCAAGTGCAGAGTTAGTGCGCTAGCTGGAGCACACGATTAGCACCTTAGAAGTTACATTTAGCTCACATGAAGCTGAACAATGCAAAGTGGAGTAGGGAGGTCACTGAGGGCGGGCTAGGGGGCCCCGGCAGCAGCTTTCAGTCGCCGGAAGGGTGACGTGTCGCCGCTGCAGGGCAGTCAAGGGCTGGGGTCTTCTGCAGCGGAAAATGCAGAAGATTACAAATGGGAACCTGTGAACTTTTAAATTTGAAGTATCTTTCAGTTTTGTAGAGATCTTGGGAGGGGCCCCACAGGCCCCTTCTTGCCCAAAGGCGGTACCCTCGGCAGCTATCGGCTGCTGCAGCAGCAAGTGCTGCTCTTGCTGCAGCTCTTTCATACTGCGGCTTCATCCCGGCACAGTAAAGGAGCAAAGAGGCTCCGGTGAAACGTAGACTGCGCAATGGGCTCACGGAAACGCAGCACGGTTGGGGCCCCACAGGCTCGGGGGGCCCCACAGAGCAGCGAAGGGGGCAAACGGGTCCTCGCTGCGTCGGGAAGTGACAGCGAAGACGATATTTTGCTGCAGAAGCAGCAGCAGCAGAATACAGCAGCGGGTGAAGGCGAGCTGGAGCTGTCGGATGGCTGCCTAGACGAAGACGAGGCATCTACAGATGAAGAGACCCCAGCGGGTCCGGGCGACCCTGAGGGCCCTTTGTCTGCAGATTCTTCAGAAGATGATTCCCCCAGGAGGCAGCAGAAGAAGCAGCAGAAGGAAAGCAGCAGCAAAGCCCCTCAAAGTAGCAGCAATGTGCTGTTGGACGTCGAGACAAACTGGGCGGATCTGTACCTAAGCCGACCACTGCTTAAGGCACGCCCTGCTGTCGCTGTTGCTGCGTTCGCTGCTGCTGCTGCTTCTGTTCTGCCTCTGCTGCTGAAGTGGACTCTACATGCCGTATTGCCTGCAGCAGCAAATATGCTGTCGGTGCTGCGGCGGCGACGCACAGCGACTGGGGTATGGAGCTGAGACTTAGCTTAGGGTTTAGGGTTTCAACAAAATATGAATTGTACCGCTAAGTCATCAAATGCATGCGGGACTGCGCCTTAGGCTCTGGATGCCCTCGGCTACGCCCATCCCTCTTTCGTGCAGTCAGCTGCCATTCCTGCTGCGCTGCGGGGCCGGGACCTCCTCGTGAATGCCCAGACGGGTGAGGCCTCCAGCTGGCACTTGGGGTCTCAGCCTTTTGAGCTTTTGTTGTACAAGATCTATGAAGAAGTATATTATATGCTGTAGGCTGTAGAGCCCTGCAGCCTCCACTGGCGGCAGTTGCGGGTGGCCTTCTGTTCACGAAGAGAGTGGAGGGGGTGAAACATAGGGAACAGGGTTTAGGACTTGGACTTGGGGGTTTGGCCTGGGCAATTTGTATGGGGGAACTTGAAATGGGCCTTTGCTGCTGCTCTGCAGGCTCAGGAAAGACTGCGGCTTTCTTGCTTCCCCTTCTGGAGCGCCTTCTGCAGAGCCCGGGAGTCAGAGCTCGAAAGGCAGGTCCAGGCGCAGCTAGCTAGCTAGCTAGTTAGCTAGTTAGCCACCAGGCTCTGGCTTGGCAGCTTGCTTGCCGACTAGCTTCCTAGACTTGAACACCCAGACTAGCAGTTAGCCAGAGGCCGCTAGCTAAACAGCATCCAGGGAAGATGAAGCCGCACGCCGGTGTGTAGACAGCAGCAGCGGCAGCAGCAGCTGCAGCAGTAGCAGCAGCAGCAGCAGCTTCGGCCGTGGTAGCTCCGCAATCTTGTGCGTCTTACCACACTCAGATGACACCCACGGGCCCCGTTGGAGGCCTGAGGGGATCGAAAGGCTTGGTACTTCTTCCCACCCGCGAGCTGGCGATGCAGTGTTACCAGCTACTGCAGGACTTATGCAAGTTTGCGCCGATCACCTCAACTCTTGTGCGTGCGCCTGCAGTTGCTGCTACTGCAGCTGCAGCGGATGCTTTCCACCACTCCTGCTTTCGCATCTGGGTGCCTGCGTTTTGCGTATCCTTCGCTTCGCTGCTTTGTTCGCCTGTTTGCCAGTTCGGTTGTTTCTGTGTGAGTCTGTCTGCTTTTGGCTTTGGCTGCCTATTCCCTGTCTTTATGGTTTGACTGCCTCCTATTTGTTTTTCAGCGCATCTGGTCTTGTGTTTTTTTTTCAGGCAGTGGGGGGTGTGACTCTGTTTCAGCAGGAAACGGCGCTGCGCCTGCAGCCAGATATTGTGGTGGCCACACCTGGGCGAATCATAGACTTGCTTCTGAACTCTATTGTACGTAAATATATACAGCAGCTGCAGCAGATGTACAGAGAACAGTTGCGGCTGCTGCTGCTGCTGCTGCTGCTGCTCCCGCTGGTGGCCTGCGCAGCTTACCTCAGTGTGCCTGTAATGCTTTTTTTGCAAGTAGTTGCAGCCAAGGCAGAGACTGCCTTCTTTCCTCTTAAATGTTTCGCCTTTATTCCGGGTTGTGCTGCTGCTTCCCTTGCTGCTGTTGCTGCTGCACAGAGCATTCATTTGGAACTGCTGGAGGTTGTTGTGCTTGACGAGGCTGACCGGTTGCTAGAGTTGGGTTTCAGGGACCAAGTCCGCAAGACATGCCCCTTACCTGCTGTCCCCAGATAGTCAGCCAGGGATTCAGTTGGATATGCAACTGGCTAGCGGATGGTTGGCTAGCTAGGAGCTAGCTAAAGAGCTCTAGCCGAGCGCCTGCGTCTGCTGTGGGTTGTGCGGGGCTTGTACAGATCCTGCAAGTGCTGCGGCACTGCCATCGTGGGCGGCAGACGATGCTGTTTTCTGCCACTCTCTCTGCGTCTATATCTTCTCTCGCACTTTTGGCACTCCAGTCTCCCCTGCATATCACTTGCGAGCCACGCGGCAGCAGTAGCAGCAGCGGCATTAGCAGCAGCAAAAAGTCCCAGCAGCAGCTGCCTGAAAATTTGCAGCAACAATTTGTGGAGCTTCAAGGGGAAGAGCAGCGCTTGCCCGCCCTTGTCCATCTCGTCAGGACTGCCTTCAAGCACAGAGTTATTGTGTTTTTTGGGGTGAGCGCCAACTGGTTTGCCGCCAGCCAGAACCTCAGCAATATAGCTGAAATAATTATTCGTAGCAGCTTAAGCAGCAAGAGGGGCAGCAGCAGGTGTAGGTGCGAGCCGTTGTGCTGTGTTTCTTTACTTCTTTGCAGACGAAAAAGGCGGCGCATGAGGCATTTCTGCTGTTTTCTCTTCTAGGCCTCTCGGCTGCGGAGCTTCATGGTGACCTAACGCAGCAAATGAGGGCAGATTCATTGGCCAAGTGAGAGACAAAGATTTAAATATATTTATAGGCGCTGATGCCTGCAAAGGAATGTTGCTTCTGCTTTCACCGCCGGTCGATGGTGCTGCCCAAGCGAACCAGCATGTGGCCACACATCTAATTCTGCAGAAAAACCCCATGCAACTGTCAAAACAGCTGTATCTTCGACGCAGAGTAGACCCATTATATTTTGAAGACTAGTGGAACCAGGGTTTCCAGTCGGCTTTGTCCCTGAACTTGCCACTGAGGCACCCTATTCAGCGTAGTGGCAAGGGCGCTGCAGCAGCACGCAACAGTTTTGGCTCTCATGTCCGTTAGCAACCGTTTTAGGGTTTTGTGCATGTACTTGGTCCCATGCTCTTATGCCTTATTTTGTTGCTTCGTTGCTCCGTCCCCTGTGGGAGTCTCGCAGCTGCGTCTGTTGCAATGCTTAGTATCCCATGCTAGTATCAGTTGCCTTCATGCTGCTGTGCCCATAGTCGCCGTTCATTCTCCCTTTCCCTTCGCAAGTGTCCACTCGTCGCTGTAGTTGAGATTGCTTTGGTTGCTGTGTGTGTTGCTACCCGTGCTGCTCGCGCTGCAGGTTCGAGGAAGGAACAGCTGACATACTGCTGGCAAGCGAACTGGCTAGCAGGGGCTTGGATGTGGCAGAAGTTTCTGCCGTTATTAACTTTAGTCCTCCCAAAGACGTCGAAAGGTGTTTTATCGTTCGCACGCCGCCTTTGGTTTCCGCTTTCTGTTGTCTGTCTCCGCACTTCGCTCTCTGTGGACCTGTTCCTCGATTCTTTGTTCTAGCTATCTTTTTCCATTTACCTTTCAGTGGATGCCTGTTGAGATCTCCGTATCTCTGAAACTTTTCTTGTCCGCAGGCGTGTCGGCGGATTCGTTGCGCTGTGCTGTTCTCCTTTTCTGTTTACCTGATTCACCTATTGCTGCTCCTGTTTGCATGCTTTATGTTGTTGTGCCCTCTCCATCTCTTCTGTCTGATGTATTACCTCTTGCTTTCCACCTGTGTATTCTCAAACTGCATTCCTCTTTTCTTCCCTGTTTTTGATGTATTTTTGTCCCTTAGGTACGTTCACTCCGTCGGCCGCACTGCCCGCATGGGCCGCCACGGCACGGCCGCAACGCTTTACAACAAAAATAGCAGCGAACGCCTCGCGATTAAGAGGTTGTTAGCTGCTTTAGGGGCCAGGGACAAGCAACAACAAAAACAAAAGCAGCAGGTCCTACGACGGAGAATTGACAGTGCCAATCTCGAAGCAATTGACAAGGAGGTGAGAAGGGCGTCGGCGACTGAAAGCTAGGTTGCATTCGCCTCCGCTTATTCGCTACAAGGTAGTCTCTTGTTTTTACCATTTCGCGAAATCACTCCGACCCAGGAGCAGTGGGCGTGGGCGGAGCTGCAGCAGCAGGCAATGATTTGTTTGGCTGTTCTTGTCCACAGCTGCGAGGCCTGGAAGGGGCCCTACAGAAGAAACGGCAGGAAGAGACACTGGAGAGGGAAATGAGGCTGGCAGAGATCTTTATTGCTAAGGCAAACAATATACAGCAGCATGCGGGTATGAGGCAGAAGCGCAGACACGGGAAAGGACAGAAGAAGAGCAGAAATTAGAGAAGCACTGCAACAAAAGGACAGACTGATGTAGGAGTTCAGAATAGGACAGACAAACGCTCTTTAGATAGATCCATCTAAGTAGTATCTGCAGAGGTATAAGAGGGCCTATTTGACATCTGCTACAGATATATATGGGAGCATTTCAAACACCCCCACACACAATCACACACGCACACAGACACACACAGACACACACACACGCACACACACCCACCCACAGACACACACACACACACACACACACACACACACATATATATATATATATACTTACACACACAGAAAGAGAGAGAGAGAGAGCGATGTGTGGTAAAGGAATCGGACAGAAATAGGACAGTGGAGGAAAAGATGAAGGATGTAGGCTGAGAGTGAGGAGGGCTGCATAAGCAAACATTGAGGAGACGGAAAGTATGAGATAGAGAATGATCGGCAAAACGGGTGGAAACCCTCAAAGTGGGAACCCTCAAATGCGCACTCAGCGAGGGAGGAAGACAACAAAGGCGAACGTGCTACTGCTGCAGTGGCCGTGGCTTGCAGGCTGTCTTGCTGGTGCATCTTCTGTTGCAGATGAAATTTACTCTCGTCCTCACCGCGAGTGGTTCGTCAGTGCAGGCGACAAGCGGAAGTTGCAAGAAGCGTCTCGAATAGACGCGGAGGCAAGGGCCCTGATAAGCAATAGCAGCAGCACCGTCTCAAAGGAGGCAGCAAAAGATACGAAGCAGAAACAGAAGCACAAGCAGCAACAGCAACAGGACACAACTGAATCAGACAGCAGTGATGCAGCCGACAGCAGCTCAGTAGGCGAAGAAGAAGAGAGTGAAGAGGGTAAGCAACCAGGGTAAAATCCTTCAGAGGTAGAAAAACATCGCTGCAGGCAGCAGCAACAGCGACAAAACTTTAATAGTGTGCGCTTCTATTTTAGAGCTTCCCGAGTGGGCCACGGCTGAGTCTGTTGCTAGTGAGGAAGAAGAGGAAGATCTAGAGGGCGCTGAAAAGACGTCCTTGAGTGAGCCGAAGGCCCTTGTGAAGGTCAAAGAAATTAAAGTGACAAAGGAGCAGAAGGCTAGGCTGCAACAGCAGCAGCAGCAACTGCAGAAAAAGGAGAAGAAGCACCAGACTATGACTCCAAGACAAAAGGAAGTAGGTTACGCTGCACTTCTCTAAAAACCATCGGCAGCTGCAGAAGTTACACATGACAATCTTTTGCTGTTTTGCCAAGGAAAGCAGCAGCCAAAGCTGAAACGATAGTGGCCGTTGAGTATCTTGTTTTTGCGACTCAGAGGATGCAGGAATTCCGCATGGCGAAGGCAGCAGCGCGATCTGTTAAGAAGTGAGCTCAGGAGACGAGCAGCAGCGAAGCATATAAGAAGGACTACTGACTCGTTATCAGATTCTTGCGTGTGACTGTGGCAACGCTGACGTGGTTCAAATTTGGTGACACTGAGCTGCCGGCCTGCTCTGTTATCGCTCCTGCCGATATTGCTGCTATCACTGTTACAGGAACGCTAGACCTCAGCGGTTGCGCATTGACACAGAAGTGGACGAGGACTACTTAGGCGGCTACAGACGTCCAGGGAGTCGAAAGCCGCAAAAGAAGAAGCGGAGGAGAGAAGACATTGAAAGAAGCAGCGGCAACAACAGCAAAGTTAGCGGAGTGGACAAATCAGTCGGGCCGGAACAGAAAAAGAGACGGCGCACCCAGGTAGGCAGTGGCAGCTTCAAGTCCAAGAAAAGGTATAAACGCAGGTAAAGGAAGCACTGCAGATAGCAGCATGCAACCGCTGCACCTCATAGGCAACGCAGCACCTTGCCGCGGCAGCGTCTTGCCGCAGTAGTTTGCTGCAGTAGCAGCCCAGCTGCAGTAGCAGACAGGTTGCCGGCTGCATACGAACCTTCAACAGTGGCAACCGCTGTATCGGAGTCATTTCACTTGACCATTTTCTCGGGTAATCATTACGCGAATCTAATCATTTGGTGTCTTTCAGCAGCGCCTGCAGCTGCCCCCACTTTTATATAGTACGCTCAGGCAGCTCCTACGTGGGTATGTCGCCATTCGCTCGGCACAAGAAAGGCGAGGCATATCGTCCACCTTAGTCGCTATGTTTCCACCAAGCCAGAAAACTGCATAGTTGAATATGTAGCTACTAATCCTCGCCGCATTTGGCCAACGCAGTACAGCTACTCAGGAGTATCACAGAAGGTTCAGGCGTTTGCTAGGTGGCGCAGCTAGTTTATGTGCAGGAACAGAAGTTGCTGCTCCATGCACAGCCTTGATTTGTGTGAAATCATTGTTTTGATTCGATTCTAAACAAATAATTTGTTTCTATTAGGTTAATTATGCGAGACTGGAATTGAGATTTCGCGTATCTCGTCAGTAGTTCGATTCTAAACATATAATTTGTTTCTATTAAGTTAATTATGCGAGACTGGAATTGACACTTCGCGAATCTCGTCAGTAGCAAAAAGTCAGACAAAAAGCACAGAATCCGATACCGATATTTGCATGTGCGTGTCTGTATATATATGTACAAAAATTTATTTATATGTTCGTGTATAAACATCTATCTACAAATGCATATGCAAGAAGATACGTACATACATTGCATGCGCACACTGTGTAGAGACCAATTTTCGGTACTCAGGCATGTACGTGTACTAGTACGTACAAAGCAAATACACAGACGTATGTATGCCGAACATAAAAATGCTCAAAGTATGTACGTCAATATGTACAAATGCATATATATATATATACACATACACGCGTGGGCGCAGCTGTACATGCAGATGCTCTCGTGAAGTATCACTCCGAGGCACAGAAAGATACACACGAAGTTCGAACACCTGTTCGTACGTGCATGTTCAAGACAAGTATTCCAAAAAACCTTGCTCATGCAAAATTACAGAAACGTATGGCTGCAAGATTCCAGTGACAAGCATGCCTGGATTTGCTTGTGTTTATGCGTGTACACTTGATTTCCGTAAAGCGGCTATGCATAAATTTACAGTCACCCATAGCATTATGATGGCAATATTGTGGGCATAGTTGCATACTACATACGAATTTACGAATTCGCAGCGATATGGATGAGCACTGGGGTACAAAACAACGCACGACGAAAATGTGCAATCACTCTGGGCGAGAGTCTGCTCTGTTCAAGAGGCCTGGAGCAGCCCTCGCCGCTGCTCTAGCTGTGGCTTTCACTGCCTTTTCTGCTGCTGAATCTGCTGCTGCTCGCCGATTCTTCAACAGCTTGAACCTGGTTGGTATGGATGCAACAGTCGCTGCGGCTGCCTTGGCAGCTGCAGCTGCAGCACGCCTCGTTGCTGTTTCTTCAACTGCTGCTGCAGCTGCTGCTGCCACCGCCGCTGCCGCCGCCGTTGTTCTGTGGTGCTTTCTCCTTTGCCGCACTCGTTGCTCACTCTTTTGTTTGTCTTGCACCCCATGAAGTGCTTCCGCCTCCGCAGCTGCAGCCATCGCAGCCGTGATATGAGCAGGCGCCACGGCCGCAGAAGTCGCAAAAGGAGAAGTGTAGTCTGCAGCAGACAGACTGTCTTCTGTAGATTCTGCTGGCAAATGGACAGAGGGAAGAGCTGATGAAGGGGACGAGTGACAACTCTTTGTCAATTCTCTGTCGCCACAAAGTGCCACTCCTGTCTTGCGCAAATAAACAGAGGCCCAGCTGGAAGCCTCCACAGTAGACAGGTCGAGCTCTACTTGCTTCTCCCCCGCTGCTGCTGTTCAAGTTACTCACACAGCACAAAAAAGCAAGTAAAAAATGCTGCAACAAAAGCAGAAACTATAAAGACAGCTGCCGCAACAGCGGCAGGCGGAACGAAAAACTTGGTGGGCTAGGATTTGACCCCACGCTTACGCGGTGCAGAAAGGTTCGCGTCGGGGTGCTGCTCAGGCTGCTCTGGCTGCTGCAGTGTGAGGGAAGGAGACGTCGCGAACGGCTCGCTGCAGCACCGATAATCCCTCCTAAAATATTTATCCCTCATCAACTGCGCAGCAGTGGGCCTTAGAGCCGCATCTGCAACAGTAGGAACAGCACCAGCAGCAGAACCAAAGTGTGGCGATACCGACACTTTGCTGACATTCAACGGATGAACTCGTGCAAATACCAAAAGCAACAATTTAAGCAAGATACGCCAACACTGGCCATCCTCCTCAACAGCTACAGCAGCAGCAGCAGTAAACGATAGCAGCCTTAGTTACCGACATCAGTGGTCGACCATCCTCATTTCCACGTGCACCAGCATTCGTTACAGCAGCCTCAAAAGCACAAAACGCACGAATTACAAATGTATCTAGTAAAGCAACGGCAGGTTCAGCTGCTGTACCCTTTTGTAGGAGCATTTTGATGATACTTTTGGTGCCGCACCCAATGACCCTTTTCGGCAGCAGAGAATCTAGCAGCAAATCGAGTTGCTCTTGCTGCTGGGGGCTATCATCCTGTAGTAGCAAATGAGATGGCGGACTTGTGAGCTCCCACATGAAAACACCCCCGCACAACTCCAGCATGACACAGCCTAAACTCCAGATGTCGGCCTGAATACACAAGCAAACAGAAGGCCAGGCCGCGGCACACACAAACCCAAACAATGACAAACACACAGAAATACGACAAATATACGCACAGGCCTAGAAAAAAAACACAAACGGGCACTGAAACAGAGCTGACAGTGAGCACAGAGCGAAAGGTAAGTTCAGACGAAACTAGCTAATAATACAAAGAGACGCAAGCCGAGGCTAACACAGCGGCAGGGAGTTGTTCCACGCCTACTGGCTTTCCGTATTTGGCTCCTAGAATGACCTCAGGGGCCATGTAGCAGTCTGTGCCCGCTACTGATAGCAAGGAGCTATTGCCAGGTGTATCTACACCTCCCCCTGTCGCCGCATTTCTGGTGCACGTGTACACGCTACCCTTGCCGTCGCTGCAAGTGGACTCTTTGCTGCACCATTCACCCCTGCCGCGTTCGCTGCGCTTCCTGCTGCTGAAGCTGAGGCCTATGCTGCTGCTGCGGATAAGCTGCAGCAAAAGCGAAACGGGATAAAGAAGCACATTCCACACCTTGCTGAGAGTCCGTGTAGATGCGAGCCACAGCGTGCCTCCTCTTGCTGACTTTGCTCCCACCACCTTGCGATGATGAACTTGCAGCTGCTGAAGCTGCGAGTTCTGTCCTGTTTCAGCAAAGCGGCCTCCTGTGCTCTGCTTCTGTGAAGTAGTGGCAGCAGCATCAGCAGCAGCCAGCGGCCACGGGCCCTGCTGCTCATCTATTCTCTCAGGTGACGTATCAGCGCTCCGTTGCATCTGCAACTGCAGCAGCCGCAGCTGCTGCCGCTCCTCTTGCTGCGTCAGCGTGCTAGAGTCAATCAACTTCATGACCGTATGCTGCTGCATGCTTACTTTGGGGGGCGAAGCAAAGCGACAGAGGCCGAAATCCCCCAGACGAATATGAGAGTCTTCGGACAAAAACACATTTTGGCTTTTTATGTCTCTGCAGCAGCACCACCACGGGCAGAAACGCAACAGGCTAGTGCACTTTTCACAGGAGCAGAGCAAGCAACTAGCAGCAGCAACGGGAAATGCGACAAGCAGATGGTTTTGTGTGTCCAAGGTCAACGATCAGGCAGTCAAACTCTCTTCCTGTCTGCTAGACTGGTTCCGGCGATGCTTCACGTTGCTTTGCTGACGCTTGTTCCACTTATTGCACCTGTGCAGTATATTCCTTTCGTGTAAGTAATGGACGGCCTGTACTAGCTGGAAAAGCCAACGGCGGATCTGCGCCAACGCAAAGCCATGAAATGCCAGTTGTAAGGAGCGCCGATCTTGCTGCTTTGACCGTGACTGCTGCAGCTGCTGCGACTGCAGCTGCTGCAATCGCCGCGGCCGTTGCTGTTTCTGTTGCAGCAGCTGTACTTTTTAATGCCAATGCAATTGCTGCCATTACTGTTGACGTCGCTGGTGCAGTTACTGCTACTCCTGCTCGTGCAACTAACTTGAGTGGTGCTACTGCTGCGTCTGCAGTTGATGCTACTGCAGGAGGTTGAGCTCGTGGGGTGTATCTCTCACTCTGCGCTCCGTAAGGGCTCTGTACCGGCGCTCTATGAGTCGCTTCAAATCGCCGAGGGGGCAAAACTCCATCAACAGCATGAAATATGTCTGACGTTCCACACGGCCGAACGAAGGCTCCTGGTGTATAAACTCTCCAACGTAGCCCACCTGTAGCAGCAGCAACAGCCTCAAAAGCAAGAACGACCCTACGAAAAAATACGCAACAGTAGGGGGGCAACTGTGTCATCTGCCATGTTATCAGCAACAATGGCAAAGAAGAAGCAGCGGCAGATCCCTCTACCCCGCAGTGGCCCCATCAGCGCCTGCTGCAGCAAAAACAGCATCACTAGCGCCAGCACCAAAACAGCGCCGTGAAGCGCCACAATCGCAGCAGCTTGCGCACAACAAACTTATGCATCAGATGTGCCAATCTTCGAGCTTCCTGCTGGTAACTGTCAGCAGCTGTTATGTCAGCCACAGCAATTTTTTTCAACACAACAAAAGGGGTCGCAGAGCTTTCTGCAGCAGCGCGGCGACGCAGGCGGGCTAGCCACACAGTCCCGTAGCCTCCACGACCTAGCTGCAAAGCACAACGACAGCAATAGATGTAAAAGGTGCATCAAGTGCACAAGATGCGAATGCAAAAGCCGCTTCAGCCCTCCAGTAACAGCAGTAGAAAGGCGGCTGCAATGTGCCGCGCGACAGAACAGTAATCATGCACAAATCAAGGAGACATAAGTGTCTGCAGCTAACATAAGGCAATCAGTTGCGAAGGCTTCTGACGCTGTATCATCATGCAGAAGGCGGAGCCACAGGCGCAGCTACACCCCAAAAGAACATCAAAGCCGAAAACACGCTGGGCAGCAGCTTCGGTTCAGTATACTACGTTAAACAACAGTATCAGCAACAGCCGCAACAGCAGCAGCAGTCGTAATGACAGCAGCAGCATCAGCACTGTACCTTTCTAACAAGAGTGTAGTCTCCCTTGCACAGTCGGCACTGACAGCCCTTGATAAAACCAGCAGATATTCGCATCAAGTGAATAATACCGAAAATACAGAGAACAGCTATGAGAGCCACTGCTGCCGCATTGTCTGCGCTAAGAGGAAACTGCAGCAGACACACAGGGCTCTCGCCGTTGGAAAGCCAAGGCTCGCACGCAGCTTCCCCACCGGCAGTAGCGGCGGAATGAGCGGAAGCCGCGGACTGTTCTTTTCCACTATATTGCTGTGGCTTCTGCTGAGCTTGCAGCACGCTATGTTCCGTAGAGTTGCCCTGCCCTCCCTTCGCAACTGTGGAAGCAGGAGCACCAGCAGAGTCAGCGGAGGCATTATGCACTACTGCTGATGATGGCCTTGTACTTCTTGCTGCTGCTGCGAAGATTAGCGACTCAGCAGCAAGCCCACCATACGCTTGGCAGAACCTTTCCCCTTCTGCTGCTGCAGCGCCTGCTGCTGTCTTCGCCAAGACGAGTCTTGCAGCTGGCAGCTCTGCCAGAGTACTTACTGCTGCTGCCTCTGCGGGTGTCGTGGCAGGAAGGCAGAAGAGAGGCAGCAGAAGAGCAGCCGCAGCAAAAATACGAGGCGCTGATTTCGATCCCGAGCCAGATAGAACTGACACAGCACACCTCTCTGGCTGCTGCCCGCCTGTACGCCCCTGTCGCTGCTGCTGCTTCTGTTGCTGCTGCTCGTGCAGAGGTTGCTGCGAAACGCATGCGAAATGGCGACTCACGGCGGCACAGTCATGCACACGCTCATCTACCAGAGGAGCATGAGGCAACTGATGCTGCCGCTGTTCGTTTTTTTGTTGTTGCTGTACTTGCTGCGGTTGCCTCATTGCAACGCCAACGCTGCTGACCCGGGCAGCACATTTTGCTGCTGTCGCTGGTCTTGCTGAAGCTGCATTTGTTGTTAATCTTTTAACTGCTTTCGCCGATGCATCTGACGTCGTCTCGCCTTTGATGCTAATGAAGGAGCGCGGATCTGCCTGCTGCCTGCTTTGCTGCAGCTGCTGCCGCTGATGCTGCTGCTGCAGCACTACCCACTTCAGCACGAAATGCAGCTGCGACACTGTAAGACTTGACAGAGCCAACAAAAAAGCCGCATAGCTCGCAGTCACAATTCCGGTAACAACACTGCCAGGAAAAGCGGGCTGCTGTTTCTGCTGCTGTTGCTCCGCTTGCTGCTCGGGTGGCAGGGCTGCTCGCCACTCAACAAACAAGTTTTCATTGCCAAAATTTACAAGAATGATTGTGCAAAAAGTTCCCTCTGCTGCTTGCCTGTTGCGGCGAGTGAAAGCGCTATTGCTGCTGTTGCTGCTGAAGCCCCACATCACCAATGCCACAACTTGCCGCAGCGTCTCCTGCAGTGTGGCTTTGAGCGATTGCTGCTTCTGCCACAGCAGCTGCTGCCGCCACATCTGCTGGTGCAGCATCTGCTGCAGCACTTGCTGCACCAACTGCTGCTTGAGTCCTTGCATCTCAGCCAAGTAAGGGGTGAAGCCGCCACAGCCTCGAGCACCAGCAACTGCGGCAAAAGCCGCAATGAAGTCTAGTACGTCTTCTAGACAGAAGGATGACAGCTACTGCACCAGGAAGCCGATGCAGAGGCACTGCTGCATCGCCTATATTGTAATTCCTGCAGTTGTTGCTGCTCCTGTTGAAACTGCTGCTACCCTTGTTCTTGCTTTCAGCAACCAACCCCCTGCTGGTGCTACCAGGCGCTTGGAGCTTCAATATCTAGAGTGAGAAAGCTCAAACCTCAAAATCTGGGGGGACAACGATAACGCAGACACGGCAAGAAATTGTACCTTTTACTTGCACCAGCAGGAGATGGATGCTGCTGGAACTGCTGCTGCTGCTGCAGAGGCGCAATAATCCTCTACTTCAGCTCCGGAAGCTGAGCGACTTCCCCCATTTAAAAAAAATTCAAAGCATTTCGACAAACGATAAGAACACACTTTTGCTATATTGGCACCTCATGTCTGCGATAGTAGCGCCAGCCGCAGCGCCACCAAGGGGCTGCTAATGGTCCACACGGATCGACGCATCAATACAGGTGTCTTGCCGTACGGTTGGGGCAGCATTTGAATTTCCCTTCAAATTCTTAAAGCCCAGTCTTCCCAAGCTGCACTATGGTTTTGCAAGTGCAGAACCCTTTGCAGAAAGAGTAACAGCAGCAACAGCAGCAGCAACTCGACAACTGCAGGAGGCCATCTGGCCGCTCGTTGTCTATTTAAACGTGCCTGAATGCAAATGACTGCGTTGTTTCGATCTTTTCCATCGATATGAAGGATACATGCTGGCAGTGAAAATGTAGCAGGGCCAGCACGGCTCCCATGTTTAAACACCAGCAGTACTGGGCACCGTTTGCGCAACTGCGGCGACGCCGTGGCAATTCAAAGAACGCTTTCTGGCTGTGGGGTCACTTGAGCTCTGCATGTGTACGAGTGCTATTTGCATTAGTAAGTTTTACTCTATAGTTTCTTCTGCTGTTTCTGCTCGATGTCCTTGTGTGCACTTCCCAGCAGTATTCAGCCTAGCAAGCTGGAGGTGACCTCTGCACAGCACGTATTTAGCAGGTCCTTGGCCGTAAATGAGCAACTCAGACGTCTTTCAGATTCATACTAATTTATTTTTGCACTTCGTACCGTCAGTTCTTCAGCTACTGCCTTGGACGAGCCCGTGAGGACCACTTCGCAGTTCCGCTTCCGCTTGCTCGCCGCCAAGTCGTGTCTGGAGTTCTATGCAACACGAAAATAATCTATCAAGAAAACAAAGAGGAGCATATTTAGTGTGTCTGTAACGCGATGCTGCCTTCTCTCTCCCCTACTGACGTGACGAGCTTGGGCTGCGCTGCGTAGGTGGGCACGAAGCTCTAAACTAGTTCAGCACAATTTAAATGCGTGGGGAGCTCAAAACGGCTCAAAATGAGTGCCGACTGAGTAAAATGATGCACAAGCATCGTTCTTAGAAGCAAGCTAGAATTTGAAGGCAGGCTTTAGCCCAATCTTTTGAAATGGAGAAACTTGAAATGGGGAAACTCTCGATAACCAGCGACAGCTCTGAAAAATCCTCGTACACTGTCATCTGTCACCATAAAATATTCATAGTGCCTGTGCCACTTTGGCTACGGCTTCTCCAACATTCCTGAGATGCAATAATTCCGCCAGTAGTGCACAGTGGAAAAGCAAAAATTTACTCTGGCTTAAAAGTATTTGGAAGCAATATTCAAGACGAGTTTGGTCCCACTTGTAAACAACTGGGGAAACCGTGCAGGCGAACCCGAGTGTCTCTCATTTTGCAACTGCTACTGCCTTCCTCCGTTCGCCGCGACTATCTTTCTGTTTTTTTCCACGCAAAGCTTCTCGGTGAAATCGCGAACATGGTTGGAGTTCCAACACACCCACACAGTAAAGGAATCATGGCTGGTCCTTTCCAGCTTAAAACGGATGAAATTAATCAAGTCCGTCCCTGCAAACGTTACTTATAGTGCAGATTTATTTTATGAGGCCTTTTGCTGTGAGTCAACAGAGCTGAATCACTCTTTGCTGCGTGAACTGATGCCGATTGTCTGAGCCAGGATAGCCAGGATTTCACACAGCCCTGCAGTATGAGCTATCTTATGAAACTTTAGGATCACGAAGAGAAGCGAGTACGATATGATGAAGCAGAATTCTCCCCGTGAACAGCAATGCATGTTAATGCGCTTCCCCAGTGGTGCAAACTAAGAAGCCACACGTTCTCTGCAGAGGCCAATAATGCTGAAACTTCGCCCTTACTCAACAGCATAAGCAAGCCTGTTCCTTGTCAAGGGGGATGTATGCAGCAGGCTTCCCTCGTTGTGACTGTCTTCGTCCAGTGGTTCGGTGCAGGGTCACCTGATGAGAGAAAGCCCAGCTCTCCCAGGTGTACAAAGAGCATAACAGACTCTTCGCTCAATAGTTATTTTTTAAGTTATTGCTAAGAGCAGTGAACCAGTATAGAGCTAACGCATAAATACCTTGGGGTGCTTCTAAACACACCGATGGGCGGATGCAGGTGGACAGGGTGAACCCGAAATGGCTTGTCTGCTCAATAGCACCGGTTCTAGGCAGGTTCTGCAGTTTGGGTTGAACAGTCAAAAGTAAAAAATCTAAAAACGTTCAAGCGAAAGGATCTGCCCGTGTTTCAAGCCTGACTAGCTGTCGTAGCTTCCGTGACTTTCGCTGACAGACCAGCTTCTGAACAATGGTCAGCAGTAGTGAGCATGAGGGAACCATAGAATGTGACGCTTCATTACGAATATGTTTCATGCCGAGCTTGAAAATAAGTACAATTTCAATTGGTCTGTTAAGGAAAACAATAAAACTACAGAGACTATAGAAGACTGAGAGGACCACCAGAGAACAGCGGCTGGAAAGTGCGACGACTGGCGGTCGGCAGCGCGGCGGCTGTCTGTTCACAGTGTAAACCTGAGCCTATTTAAAAAAAATTGTGTGTTTTTGTCATCTTTTGCATCAATTTTTTAACCGGGAGGTTTAAAAATCGATTGATTTTGTGTATTTGAATCGAAGAGCTTCACTCAGTCGGTTTCCTCCCTCTGGCACATCGCAAGTCTATCATCGCACAATGAGAGCACCCAAGACTCATTTCCGCTTCTGCTTGTCGCTTCTTTTGGGGACTCTAGCTTTACTGTCAGTTTCTCAGTCTGCACCTAGCAGGCCTGAACGAAGTAATAGTATCCGAGAACGTTTGAATACCATCCTCAGCACTCCAGCCGCAAGCAGGGACGCCGCCCGTCCACCCAATGGCCGAGCCCGCGCTCCTCAGGCTGCCAGTCCTGCGGGAGCTTCCAGTCCTCCTGCTGCTCCAGAAGGTGCAGTTACCGGGGCCAGCGCATCATCTCCCTCCAACGCGGAACTGCTGCTGCAGTACCTAGACAAGCGCGCCAGCAGCAACAGCAAGTCGCCTCAGGAGTTCATTGATACCATCATTTCAAAGAAGGCTGGAGTAGCCGCTGCCAGGGAGGCTGTTGCTGAGGAAGACTCCGGTCTGGTGGAGGTGTTGGACAGTCAGACCTGCGCTCAGGTACCTGTCTCACGCCCCTATGAGTGCGCCCGCAAGGAGCTGAAGCAGACAGCGTATCCTTGCAGCCTTGAGTTCTACCCTGAAGTCTGTACATTGGTTACCCGTCCTATGGAATCCAAGAGGCCCCGCGACGTGGAGCGTAAGGTGCCTTATCAGTGCCCCAAGTTGCGCAATAAGCAACTGTGCTACAGCGTCCCCAAGTCGCAACAGACGACTTGTGTGGGCATGGTGAACAAGGCTAAGGAGACAGAGTGCCAGCGCAACCACGTACAGAAATCCTGCACCATTGTGGAGGAGTCGATCCCCTGGACGTGCCATGAGACCAAAGAGATTCAGCTCAGCTACGCCTGCAGCCGCGTAGAGCCCACAACGGAGTGTTCTCCCAACCTGGTGGCCATAGACGACGCTTGCACCCGTGAGACCAAGGTGCCAGTGGTGTACGAATACTACGACGTGGAGCCCGAACAGCAGTGCGAGGTTGTGCGCAAAAAAAATATGTGTCCCAAGGCCGTCCGTTCAGTTGACCTCTACTCTTGCCCAGAAACTTACTACGACAAGGTTTGCATCACCGTAGATGTCCCGGTGACCCGCATGTGTGACGCCCCCGTTACTATCACAGAGGAGTACCCTTGCGAGAAGACAGAAGTCCGCACCATAAAGAAGGCTTGTGGCTTCAGTCAGGGCGCCAGACGCTTCCTTAGAGCTGAAGTTGAGGGGCAGGAGGGCCCGGCACCAGCTGCAGCTGCAGCTGCATCATCCGGCAGAAGAAGACTCTGTGACTACGAAACCACGGTGAGAACCATCCCGTCGCTCCTCTGCTTTTTCGCCACTGTCTTCTACTTCTTCTCCTTGTCCTCTATATATTACGCCTCCTCTGTCTTCACGAATGCCTGAAACCTAGGGCGCTTGCTGCTGCATGCTTATCTCTGTATTCATCTGCGCTGCTTCCCGCTTCGTCAATCTGTATGTGCGAATTGTGTGGCTTTCTGCGCTGTTGGCCTTAAACTTTGCTGCTGCTGTGTTTCCCTCCTGTCTGTCTTCAGGTGACAGTCCCGTCTACTTGCACGCGGGAAGTAACTGTGACCAAGCAACAGCCCTGCATGCAAACAGAACCACAGGAGCAATGCTCAATGGTGGAGAAAGTGCGTGAAAAGACTTGCGAAAGTCCGTCGACGCGCACTGTTCAGGCCGAGTGCGAAGACTGGGTGGAGGAGACCGTGTGTCAGCAGGTTAACAAAACAGTAACCAAAAAGGGGGTCAAGTTTGAGACCAAGGTCGACTCCTTCCCCTGCACTAGCACGTACGCCAAGGAAGTCTGTGTGGAGGTCAGCTCTCTTGTAGACGCTACCTGCGACGCCAATCTCAAAGAGACGCAAGAAGTGCCATGTACTCGCAAGTACAAGAAACAAGTCTGCCAAGACATTGACGTGCCCTCCACAGAAATCTGCACTGAAATCAAAGAACAGGAGATTGAATATCCCTGCCTGCAGATCGTATTCGAGGAGGTCAGTTGCAGCTGCCGCTTAAGATCAAGATACTTCTGTAGCCTTTTTGTGCCGCTGTCGGTGCTTTGTATGGAACCGTAATCAAATTTTCTTCAGTCAGTGCTTCTGTCTGTTACTTCTCCGGTGGTCGCTCGACGCTCCTGGTGTGAGGCTTGTTTTGGTGTGTTTATCTAGTTACTTGAGAGCTATGTATGTATGTCAGTCTCCAGTCCCATATAAGAGTACCTTTCTGTCCATCTATCCTTCTATCCCCATATACCTAAAAGCATTTCCTGTATTTCTTCTGGCCAACATACTTCTGTTATCTAACATGGCTATACCTTTCCCTGCTTGCCTACCCATGTATTCATTTATTGGTCCCGGGCTCTTGTGTCTAAGAATGCACTTATTTATTCGTCTGTATATCTATATGCTTAGCTGTATCGTGAACGTTTTATGCCGGCGTATGGTTTTTGTGCTGCCTTCTTAGAAATGCACGACTGTGCCGTACTACGAGTTAGAGCCCTGCGAGGCCGTGGTGGCTGAAACAGAGCTCGAGCCTTGCGAAGTCAACTTTAGGGTGACGGAATGTACACCCCAAGACAATCCTCAAATGGGCACATGCTTCAAAGACGAGCAGGTTGATTTCAGCGAGACCTGCTACCGCGTGGAGAGCGACACTGCCTGCGAAGATGTCATCACCACAAGAGTCGTGCAAGACGCACTTGCAAAACGCGCCAGGGCCTCTAAGTAGCCAATGAAGCTGCTACCCCTGCAGCAGCCAGCAGCAAGTGTGGCTAACACAGCTGCTGCTGCGAGCGGCAACAGCAGAGAGAGAGCCACGGCACCACCGCCCACGTAAAGCAGAGCTGGAAGAGGTTGAATCCCAATAGCCGCTGCATACCATGCTTCAGCACGCGCCTGGAGAGTGCGTACACATGAATGGAAATGAAGCTGCCAACTATTTATGGCGACTTTTTTGTTTTATTTGACAGGAAACAGAAAACAGAGTGCCCCGTTGCTGCTATTAGAGCAGCAGAAAATGCACATGGCTCCCTTAATTTTGGCGCGTTTGAGTTACTGCTACTGTTTCTCACACAGCTGCCACACAGGCCATTGTCACTGCAGCAGAAGCGGCGGCAAGCCTGAAAGCCAAGCAGCCAAAGAGTCCTTGCCAGGTAGCTCTGCACAGGACTTGTTGGACAATGCGGCCATGCCGGCGAACAATGTTGACCAGCACAAGACACTAGCTGTGCTGACCAGCCATACAGGCAGCTGGATAGCCAGCGACCCAGAAGCGGCTCCCGAGGCACTAGGGTTGCGCGTGCATCTGCCCGGCATCCTGATGTTCATATTGTTTTAAAGCGATACTCCGAGGAAGGCCCATGCAGCCGCAGCTGCAGATACAGGGTGCACAACGGCCCTCTCTGGTAAAGCTGCAAAGGTCCATAGCCCTGTCAAGCCTAACTGCCTCGGGAGCCGCTTCCGGGTCGCTGGCCATCCAGCTGCCTGTATGGCTGGTCAGCACAGCTAGTGTCTTGTGCTGGTCAGTATTGTTCGCCCGCATGGCCGCATCGTCCAACGAGTCCTGTGCACAAAGCTAGCTAGAAGAATAGTCTCTAAGTAGATATGAAACTCCGTAGTGGCCGACTTGTTCGCTGCTGGCGTAAAGGGATCACGTGATGCAGTAGCAGCAAAAAGCACTGTTAGAAAGCACAAGGTGCAGGGAATACAAGCACTTCCAGACACAAAGTGACGGACGCTCTTTGACACTGTTAGCCTTTGGAAGGCCGCGACCTATCTGTCTCTCCTAGTGAGCCTATCACTCTCTCCAAACTTCTTTTATTTTTTGCCTGTAGCTCTCTGTCGCCGTTCCTCATCTCTTGGTGTAACTTTGTCACTGCTTCTATGTGTTTCTATCTGCTTTCGACACTCGCCACTAGCCCCCACTAAATTTCCTACGTTTATCTCTACTTGTTTTTCTGCTTCTATCTGTGCATGCACCTCTGGTTCCGTCTCTGTTAGGTTTTCTTTCTTTCCCAAACCCCATTCTTCGACAGCAGATTCTGCGCCCACGGAGCTGTACAGCCCCTAGACTGAACTTCGTTATTTCAAGGGCAGACGCACCACAGGCAAAAAGCACATAGACGCAGAAGGGGCCAAGCACACGAACAGAGACTCCGAAGGAGAGGGGCAATATGGCAAAGAAAGACTGACTTCAGGGCCCCAAAATGGCCCCAAGACGAAATTCAGTTAGCCCAAAGGCAATTCCCTTGTGCAAATATCTCCAAATGAATTACAGGCTACTCAACACCGAGCATAGCCTAGGCGGAGGCCTCAAAGTGGTATCTGCTGCGCTGCTGCTGCTGCTGCTGCCGCCGCTGCTGCTGCGTGATGTTTTTTCGTGGCTAGCTGCGCGCTGCCTCCGCAGGAGCCGAAGCGTTTTGGGCCTCCTCAGGGTCACCTCCGGGTACCAAGATGCTGACGTTATTTCCGTTAAGAAGAATTGTCTCTAGGTGAGTTTTCTTCACCCCTTGAGCTGTGAATGAAAACTCAGTCACGTCGTCCAGCACCTGACACAAACACACCACGTGCGTGCTCTCCTGTGCAGGGCACCAGCGAACCAGCTAGCTAGCCAGCTAGCTAGCTGACTCTTTGGGCAGCTAGCCAGGCAGCTAGCTAGACAGCTAGTTAGTTGAGTCTCTAGACAGCTAGCTTAGCCCGGTGTTTTGCTCGCTAGGTAGCTGCAGGGCTTTTTAACTGGGGAGATTGGACCTCAACAGCGTCTAAAGATGCTGCCTCAACTGCTGCGCAACTCACTGCAGGCAGCAAAGTGGTGGGCAACAAAGAAGAGTGAAGGCACACAGAGGGTAAACTAAGGCACGAAAAGACGCATTTACTGCGAGAAAGAGGCACTGCAAACACAGCCTCAAGTGCTAGCAGCTGCAACACAGCGAAACGGCTGCACGCCAACAGCGGCCAGTTGGGGGAATTATCTTTTCTACAGAGTCTGAAGACTTCACAGAATCCCCCTAGGAGTTGTTCTGGGGCCCGTGGGATCTCTAGTGTGGGGCCCTCAAAGCTGTGCGAGGCCCTGGGGACGTAATGGCCCAAGGGGATTCGCCAGAAGAAGAAGCAGGCGGCACTGCGTCTGTGCAGAATGTGCAGCTCACCATGTTGACGTAGTCGTCGAAACCCCTGAGAGTTCCTGCGATTTCTTTGTCTCCTTTCATTATAACCCAAACACGAGAGCCCACACATTTGTCCACTAGGGCGAGGGGTAGGTAGCTGGGACCTCCGCTGACAACGCCCGCGCTGCTGGGGGCCCCTGAGCCGCCGCTGTTGCTGGCTGCTGTGTTGCTGCTGCTGCTATTGCTGCTGCTCATCGTCACGCGCAGACTAACCGGCAGGAGGGATCGGGAAGCTGCTGCGGCGTTTCACCCTCACGGCTGTTGCTCTCGTTACGCTGCCGTCGCCGCTTGATGCCGCTGCTACCGCTTATCTTGTTACGCGTGCTGTTTTCGCTCCCCCTGCTGCTGCTGCGGTCGTTGCTGCACTGCTGGAGCAGGAACTACTGCTGCGGGTTTGCAAGAGGGAAAGGCAAGGGCCCTCGACAGCAAGGCTTAACAGGAAGCATGTAGCGCCGCTTTTTCTAAATTGATTTACAAATGTATAACAAACGCAAACCCCAGACGTCCCGCGGAGAATGGTTCTACCGTACTCAGGGGCCCGCGCCTCACCGTGGGGGCCCCCCTGTGGCCTCTGTCGTGTCCTGCCTTGCGCAGCAACACAAATAACAATGAATAAAAAGTTTCGCCTTAATTTTTTCACTAGTAAATAGTCATTAGGCTATAATTTTGCAAGACGTTGTTTGCTTTAAAGGCTTTTCAACGCCATCCGTCCCCTACGCCCCGATGTACCACGGGGCCCCCCTGCAGAACCCTCAGGGCCCTCAGGTACAACCTTGGTTACTAGTCACTTAACATTTTAATTGCTGCATTTGGTGACCTTTGGCGTTCCTGTTAAGGCAATTACGTTCTTCTTCTACGCACACATCTCCCAGCTCGGTGTAGATCCCTGCGCAAAACCCTGGGAGTCTTGAGACATATCTGGGGCTCCTGCCCATGCTCCTCAACGAATCCTCCCTACCTAAGTTTCTTATCCAGTTTGGCATTGAAGGCTGTCCATGAAATTTCTGAAGGGGGCCCCCTTCGTAGCCCCACATGGGGGCCCCTGGGGAGCTCTCTGGAGGCCACCTCGAGGCCTCGGGCACCACATCCAGAGGCAAAGAGCCTCCACAGTTTCTTTCTTTAAGGAACACAGGGAGTTAGCTGGTCCCCCGCCTGCTGCTGCCTTGGCTGTAGACGGCCCTGCTGCTGCTGCGCGATGTGTGCCAACAGCAGCAGCAGCAGCAGAAGATGCAACAGATGTAAGCGCAGCAGCAGATGGGCACTATGTCGCCACCATGACACCTTTTGTCTTGACTCGCAGCATTCTAAAGGCAGCCAGGTGAGTCCTCCTAAGCCCGAATAGTCGTGCTCTGCTGGTGCTGTTGCTGTGAACCGCGTTGTCGCTGCTGCTGCTCATTGCATCTTTGTTTCTTGCTGAAGCGCTGGCATTCCTGACCCCAAGAGCCTTCACATACATGCTTTTGTAGCCCGTTTGTTTGGGCATGTTTATTGTTTGTCTTTGCCTTTGCTGCGTTCACAATCGTGTTCGCTATTTGTTTTTCTTTGTCTCTTTTTTTTGCCTTTTTCCTTTTTTTCCACCAGGAACCAACAGCGGGACTTGAAGCTTTGGGCTGCCTTTGCGCGCCGCGGCGCAGCCATTGCGGCTTCCATGCCAGGTGAGGACTTAAGCCGCATTTTGTCTGCCTTTGGCTCTATGGGCCTACGCCACCCTTCGTTTCTATCAGCAGCAGCTGCTGCACTGGCGCCGCAGCTGCACCTGCTCTCTCCTGCTGCAGTATGCCGCGTGGCTCAGGCCTACGGCCAGCTGCTGTGCGTGCACCCCGCGCTGCAGCAGCAGCTGCAGCGGGAAGTCGCTCGAAAGGCAGCCACTATGACTGCCAACCAAGTAGCCTTTACCTTTGCCTCTCTGGCCCGCTTGGGGGCCCCCCCAGGGCCTCTGCTGCGGGTCTTGCGAAGGGAGCTCATAGTTAAGAGGGATGCGTTGTCCCCAGGGGCCCTGGTGGTGTCGCTGCATGCTGCTGGGGTGCTGCAGCTGCAGGACGGCAAGCTGCTTGCTGCTCTTTGTGCTGCACTGTGCCGGCTTGTGGGGTCTTTGGATTCCAAGGGCCTTGCCTTGACAGCAAATGCCCTCACGCGGCTGCAGGTCAGAAATCAGTTCGTGCTGCAGTTGCTTGTTGCTTCGGCACGGCGGCTGCTGCTGCTGCAGCAGCAGCAGCACAAGCAGCATCAGCACAAGCGGATGCAGCCCAGGGACCTCGCCATGCTTGTGCATGCAGCCGTGGCTGCAGAAGCAGCTTCTCCGTCCTTTATAAAGGCAGCAGCAAATGCAGCAACAAGACGCATGCAGGCTTACGACTTGCAGGCCCTTTGCCTCGTGGCTGCTTCTCTCACCAAGTACTTCCGCCAGCAGCAGCAACGGAAGCAGCAGCAAGAAGAGAGACTGACACAGGAAGAGTTATTTAAACTGCTTGAGAAGGCAGGAGAGAGGGCAGGCCAGCTAGCCAGCCAGCTCACTCCCTTGGCAGTCTGCTGCCTTGTTGATGCTTTTGCTGCTGTGGGGTTCCGCTACGGCCCCCTTCTTTTCCACGTGCCGAGGCACGTGGCTTACTGCTGCGGAGACGAGGAAGCAGCAGCAGTAACAGGTGCAGAAGATGCAGGAAAAGGAGGAACAACACCAGAAAATGCAGCAGATACGGAAACGGCGCTCATCGCAACAGCAGCTGCTGCAGAAGCAGCAGCCGACACGGCAGAAGCAGGAAGCGCAGCAGAGGCGGCAGATGACAGTGTGAAACGGTATTCCGTATGCCAATTAGCCATCCTGCTGAGGGCCTTCAGGCGGCTCGATATGAATGCATGCGCCCTGCTGCCGTATGCCCTGGCTGCGCTTCCACCTGTGGAACGACAGCCCCAGGAGCTGCAGGAGCAAAAACTGCAAACGCAGCAGCATGCTGAGCAGCAGGACACACAAAGTGCTGCCAGAAATGTAGAGGAAGCAGACGTAGCAGCAGCAGCAGGAACAGCAGCAACAGGAACAGCAGCAACAGGACCGGCGGTCACTGAGGAGCCTTCTGGCGCCTCTCGTCCGCTGCTGCATTCTTTGGTGTGGATACTTGAAAGCGCTGCTGCCAATTCTTTCGTAGACCGGCAGGTAGGTGCTGCTGCTTCTATGTGGTTGCGTCACTTGCTGTTCTACACTCTCCTGCAGCCGCGAATGCTGCAGCAGCTGCTGCCGAGACTGTCGAGACCCTGCAGCAGCACCTCGTGACTATAGAAGTCCTACTGCTGTTTATTCTCTTGCTGCGCTGCAGGGGTTGTTCCTGCTGTACGAACACCTGGCCATGAGGGCTGGTGAGCTGCCACCGCATGCTTTGGCTGCTGTATGGGATTGCGTTGCACGTCTGGGTGTATTTACGTCTCAGCTCGTGCAAGCGCTGCAGCGACAGATGCTGGTGAGCGGCCGCCATTGTGCTTTGTAGCCGCCGACGCAGCAGCAGCAGCTGTAGCAGCAGCAACGGTGGCAGCGGCAGCGGCATCTGCAGCAGCAATAACAGTAGAGCTGCATCTGCAGCAGCAATAACAGTAGAACCACAGAAGTGTGTGCGTGTATGTGTGCTGCTGCAGATTCCTCAAGAGGTCCGTTGCTTTTCTCAGCAGCAGCTGCAGCGCATGCGTCAGGCCATGCTTGGCTTGGGACTTTCCCCTGGGGAGTTCGGGTTAATTAGAGTTCCATGGGGGCTTGTGCCGCAGTGGCAGCAGCAGCAGCTGATGCTGCAGTCAGAGCTGAAGCAGCAGGAGCTTCGAGAAAGCTCTCGCGTGTACGTGTACCTCACTCTGAAGCAACAGCAGAGGCTGAAGGAAGATGGCACCGAGTTACTGGAAGCAGCAGCAGCAGACGAAGCAGAAGAGGTGGCAATCAGAGCCAATGACTTCAAAGGGGTTCTCCTCAGGCCTCCCATCTCTTACAGCGCCTGTGAGAGCACTTGTTGATACAAACGCAGTTAGAAGCGGAGCAATTATATACAGAACAAGGTTTTTTGTATGAGGTAGTACCGAGGCTATCTTAGGCTTTAGCGTTTCGGATTACCGACTAAGAGGCACGACGCATGCCCTCCTCCACAGCGCCGTAAGGCCAAGACAGCACAGTGGCGGTAGAGTGGGCAAGAACTTGGCTCTTTGAGAGTCGGACAGCCGTGGGATCGATAGCTGGCCAGCTAGTTGGTAGGTTAGCGTACCCAACATAGCAGCTAGTTCGTTACCTGCTGGCACTGGAGCGCATCCAGCTACGTAGCGAATAGGTCAGCTGGCTGGCACTGAAAACAGCAGCTGGCGGAGCCTGCAGAAGCTGCGCGGGGACCTGGCTACATGTGCTTCAGTGGCAAGCTAGCCATGAGCTGTAACAGCCAGTCTGTTCAGAGAGAATAGTTGGAAGCAGCTAGCTGCCAGACGTGCCTTTGAGAAGGCGCGCCGCAGCAGCCCTCAGTTGAGTGAGTGACCCGAGGTGCGGGTTGCCTCAAGGACACATGCGCAAGGGCCTTCAGGATGCCTCCGCATTCCATATTCCCTGTTCTGAAAGCGTGAAGACTTAAATATATGTACTTGCAACAAGTATTTCAAACTGTTACAACTTCCTGGAGTCTCGAGCGTGGGTAGCGCCAAGGCTATGTAGGCCGCAGTGGCTCGCTGCAACGGGGCCTCCTAAGTGAGGAGCAACGCCCCTTTAACCTGTGCATAGGGCTTTTAAAAAATGCGTAAGGTGCAAAACTTAGCAGTGTAATGGGACAAAACAAACTGGGCTAAGATGGCAAAGGCCCCACAAGACACATCTTGCAAGGCCGTACGGGCCGCTGGGTCTCGATTTACGGGCCCCCAAAAAGGCTCCAAGGGGCACCTCAAAAGCTCAACTTAAATTATCCTCCTTCTCAGTGGAGTAATGGCTCTGCAGGCGTGCTCTGGGGGCCTTAGAGGGCCCCTGAGAACGGCCCTCACTGCCGTACGCACCCACGGAGCAGCAAGCTGCTATTCTCAACTACCAGAAGTATCTCCAGCAGCGGCAGCAGCAGCAGCAAGGGCATCAAGCAGCAATGCTACTCTAGGCTACAAAGCGCAAGTGTTGGCGACCCGAGAATTTCCTGGAGAATATCGGGGGACACCCAGTGCTACGGGGTCTTTCGTTTGGCCAAGGAAAAACTCCTACA